ACGCTTTAAATATACTATTTAAAAACACAATCACGTTCAAAGGTTTCATATGTATAGGACATGTTTGGGTGCTAATACGTGTGTGAAACATAAGATACGAAGCAAAAATTAAAGGCCTTACCTTGTTTTTTTGACTCGCTCCCCCACTGAGCCATCATCAGCTAACTATGCTAACAGACTAACTAGCACGGCCAAACACGGAAAATGTCTCCACCGCGATTTAAAAACGCTATCCAACGTTTGCATCGGTGTTTATCCGTGATTGTAAAAGATCGGCGTTCGCAAAATCCACCAGGCAACATCCGTATAATCCAAGGGAGTCCGGTTATTGAGTATTTTCTAAGGCATTGGTATAAGGGATTCAGTAGCTGCGCAACTAGCCGTTAGCTAACGCCTACCGCTAGCTCTGCTCAGGCTTATCAACAAAGCGCCGATTAACAAGAGATTCGACCCTGCGAACGTGCGCGTATTCATTCAAGAAAACAGAAGAAACTACAAATATTTGACAATGAACAAAGAAAAAAACACGTTAAAATGAATATTGCGCGTGTTTGAGGTGGTTTGATGTGAGAGAATGGTGGAGAAGTCTCAAAAAAGGCTGCAAATTGATGGGATCGCGGGTCGTGTATTGATTTGTAAGTCTGTCTGTGGCAATAACAGCGCAGCGGGTTTTTTATGGCTTATTAGAAGCACTAAGGACTCCAAACAAAAATATATAAACAACAAATTGATAATAATAATAATATTTTATTTATTTTTATACTGATATATTATGTTAATGAATACATTGTATCAGTAATTATTATACATTACATTAATAGTAATAGCCATAATAATAACATAAATATAATATGAATAATACCATACATTAATCTATATATTATGATTATGAAATAGATACAAACCTTAAACAGTCATACAATTACTGTGACAGACTTCTACTCTGAGTATGCTAAAACATTTAGTGTGTGTGTTTGTATGTGTGTTTGTGTCTATACTGTCTGTTATGGAGGAAAAATATAACAAAAATATATATTATACATGTATAATATGTACATGCAACATGTATTATACATAACAGTGGGAGTAGCCACTAGACAAATCCTTGGTGCTAAGCATCCTGCTATACATATCAGAGACATGGGTCATCAAGAGGGACAGTGAGCTGAGGCTGGAGGCATTTCAAAACCGAAATACTGAAAAGGATAACTCACACAAGCGCTCACGTTATATATGAAGAGATTAGACTAAAATACAAATGCTCTAAAATCCTGAGCAATATTGCAAAAGGAAGAGTGCAATTCTGGTAGAGAAGACTCAAGAATAAAAAAAAAAAAACATTCTTGACTGGAAACCAAAAGGACAAAAAACAAGAAGGCGGACAAAGGAAACAATGGATAAAACAAATAGAAGAAGACGCAAAATTCTAAAATATGTAATTTATTGACCTGGTAGATCTGACAAAGGAGAATTGGATCACATTTCTTGAAGCACTGTAGGCACAACCTTAAGTTTGTTCAGAGCTCAGTGAGTTTTCTTAGTAGCAGGTGAGGCCAAGTCCAGCAGTACCCTGTCTCGCTCCCCTCCTACTGGGTCACAGGGAAGCCAGGCTGGATTCTCTGGCAGTAAGACCAGGTCAGCCATGAGGTATAGCTTTTTTTCCCTCACTCGATAACTCCGGGCCAGGATATTTTGATTTTGTTTTAAAGTGACAGTAGTAGTAGCAGCAGTATCAGCTGTTGTAGTAGTAATTGTAGCAGTAGTTGTAAAATAATCAGTATTAGTAGTATAACAGTACTATGGATATTAAAAACTATGTGCATAATCTCTAGTTTCTAAACACCCAAACCATCCAACATCAGATCCTGATCAAAAAACACAAATAATGAAACCGTCATTTATTTTTTTCCTCCAACACAATTTCAAACAACAGTGACATATTTACGGTCACACAACACTGTACAGTAAAGACACATTGAAACAATACAATATGTAATATAAATTAGACAGAAATATATGTACATTATTTTACAGTGCATCTGCATTCAGGTGTTTTAGCAGAGGTGTAACTTACTAAACTTTTTAGTAACAGGTTAAACCAGACTTATGTATTTATAATTTTAGTACAATGTCCAATTTCCTATATATTTGATTCATTTTTTATTTCTTTTCCATACAACTTGAAGTAAAATGTGTATAGTTCTGTATACAAATCATGTATCATGTTAACTACAGCAGATGTATTTGTTGTCCTCTGCTGGTGATTGTTGGAAGTGAAGTTGTGGAAAAGGCAAAGTATTTTTTCTCAGCTTCCCAAAGATGAATGATAAATATGCTTTGAATGAACTTTTTAGAAATATTTTAGTCCACACTTTAAAACGTGTGGACTCACTTTGTGCAATTATAAATTATAATAGACTGTGTTATGTGTATGTACTCTAATTAAATGTAATTGACTCTTTGGGTTGAGCACTGAGGCTGAGTGAGGGCAGTCCTCTGCTTTGCACCTTTCTGTCTGAAAAGGTTAATCTAAAGACGTGACAGAGGCCAAAATACATACATATACTGTACAACAGAGAGAGAGACCAGACAGAGTAAACAGAGAGTGGGACTAGAAGGAGATCAGAGAGACCAGATAGAATGACTAAAGAGAGACCAAAGAGAGACCAGATAGAGGGACTACTAGAGGGAGACTGGAGAAAGGGGCGAGAGAGAGAGAGAGACTAAAGAGAGAGAGAACAGAAAGTGAGACTATGGGACCAGATAGAGAGACCAGAGAGAGACAGAGACACCAGAGAGAGACTAGAGAGAGGCCAAAAACACATGCATGCGGGAAAACTAGTGATAGAAGCAAACTGTTTTGAAAGCGAGTTATTAGTTACATAGATTTTTATCATATAGTTCAACTTGTTGTCATTTGAAAGTTACATACCCCTGCTTTAAAGCATTAATCGATCATAAAGTGTATTCTAACAACATGGAAAAGCCTGACCCCAGTAGCTGAGCAGTGCAGGGTCAGATAAGTGCTGTCATGGTAGATTGCGTCCTTCAGCAAGACACAGTACATTACCAACATGGCAGCCTCCCTTTGGGCAGTCAGTCCCAGGAAAGCTGTGCACACAAGACATTATATTCATGGTTTTCAGGTTCCTCTTTCAAACAAAATTTTTACAGACGGAGGTGACCAAACCTTTTAGCCACTACTAGACCCGAATTGTCCAGGGGCCAGAGAAAGACCAGAGAGAGACCAGCGAGAGAGATCAGAAAGACTGACTAAAGCAGGGGTCTACAACCTTTTTCAATCTGAGAGCTACTTATATAACAGATGAGGCAGAGAGCTACTCGTAAAAAAAACCCCAATAATGATAAAATCAATGTAATAATTACATGGTTAACACATGTGAAATATACTATAATACTGTAAAACCCTATGTTCATACTTACAGTATATGTAATGACTCAAAATGTCATGAGTTCATTCTAAATCCTATGGGGAGCTACCTGGGAGGGGGTGCTGAGCTACAGGTTGGAGACCCCTGGATGAAAGAGACCAGAGAGAGACCAGATAGATTAGAGAGAGAGAGACCTTAGAAAGACCAGAGAGAGACCAGGGAGAGACCAGATAGTTTAGAGAGAGCGAGACCTGAGAAAGAACAGGGAGAGACCAGAAAGATGAGAGAGAGACCAGAGAGAGACCAGCGAGTGAGCAGAGAGAGACCAGAGTGAGTTGAGAAAGAGACCAGAGAGATCGGAGAGACCTAGGAGATACCTGAGCGAGACCAAAGACAGACCAGAGAGATTAGACAGATCAGACCTGAGAAAGACCAGAGAGGGACTAGAGACCAGAGAGATCAAAGAGAGAGAGATCAGAGAGGGACCAGAGAGAGACAAGAGGGATGAGAGAGAGAGACCTGAGAAAGACCAGAGAGAGACCAGAGAGATGAGAGAGAGACCAGAGAGAGACCAGAGCGAGACCAGAGAGGGACCAGAGAGAGACCAGAGAGAGACCAGAGAGATCAGATGGATGAAACTTGAGAGTGACTAAAGACAGAGAACAGAGAGAGACCAGAGATATCATAGAGAGACCGGAGAGACCTGAGAAAGACCAGAGAGAGACCAGAGAGGGACCAGAGAGAGACCAGAGAGACCTAAGAAATACCTGAGCGAGACCAAAGACAGACCAGAGAGATCAGAGAGATACCAGAGAGACACCAGAGAGAAACCTGTGAGAGACATGAGAGAGACCAGAGAGATCAGAAAAATAGACCAGAGATCAGAGAGGGAGAGACCAGAGAAAGATCAGAGAGAAACCAGAGAGAGAGAGACCAGTAAGAGACCAGTGAGAGACCAAATAGAGACCAGAGAGAGGGCAGAGAGAAACCAGAGAGAGACCAGTGAGAGACCAGAGGGACCAGAGAGAGACCAGTGAGAGACCAGAGAGAGATGAGAGAGAGACCAGAGAGATCAGAGAGACGTAAGAGATACCTTAGCGAGACCAAAGACAGAGACCAGAGAGATCAGAGAGAGAGAGACCAGAGAGAAACTTTAGAGAGACCAGAGAGATCAGAAAGAGAGACCAGAGATCAGAGAGGGAGAGACCTGAGAAAGACTAGTGAGAGACCAGAGAGATCAGAGAGAGACACCAGAGAGACCTGAAAATGACCAGAAAATGACCAGAGAGACCTGAGAAAGACCTAAGAGAGACCAAAGACAGGGACCAGAGCGATCAGAGAGAGAGACCAGAGAGAGACCTGAGAAAGGCCAGAGAGAAACCAGAGAGACCCAGAGAGAGACTATATGTATGCTTTGTTTTAAATAGCATCTGTAGTGCTGTCAATTGTGTTGTCCATTGTGCTGTCTATTGTACTGTCTGTTGTGCTGTTTATTGAGCTGTCTATTGTACTGTCTGTTGTACTGTCTATTGTACTGTCTGTTGTGCTGTCTGTTGTGCTGTCTGTTGTCTGCGCGTGGTTCCCGGCTCCAAACCATCGCCGTTTATTTCAGAAGTTCTCTTTGTAGAAGTGGAAGCCGAAGTTTTCGCACTCGGCCTTGATGACTTTGGCCAGAGCCGGAGAGCCACAGTAGAACACGTGCACTTTTCCCTTCTTCTCCTCAGACACTTTGTGGAACACCTGCAGACATTTGAAAGACGTTAAAGAGGTTGTTTTGAACCTGCTTTTGTCCGCAGTGTGGTTACAGGAAGAGGGGACACAAAATCAACAGTTGTTGTTACTCATTGTTACGAAGGAAATTTGAGATGACTTTAGTTTTGTCTCGATGTTTTTAAATTAATATTGTGTGGTAAAACGACTTCTGAGGTCAGTGTTGAGAGTGCGCCTGCTTTCCCACGGGCCGTCCCGGGGGACTTTATAAGCGCTCCTCCTCTCATTTGCCCCTCTTTGCCCTCACGCCTCTGCAGCTGTGTGTATGTCCCAGCTCCGCGCATCCAGTGCCGCTTCAGGTTCTTTAAAGCACCCTAAAACCTCTGTGCGCCAGGTAAACCACTGCTTCCATCACAGTAATAAAACGCATATTTACAAAACCCGATGATCTTTCCCCAGCTTCTGTGTCTGGCAAGGCAAGGCAAGGCAAGTTTATTTATATAGCACAATTCATACACAAGGCAATTCAAAGTGCTGAACAAAACAAGAAAGCATTAAAATCATAAATAATCACAGAACATTAAAAAGAAAGATAATATAAATATAAATATAACAAATATAAAATCCCTCAGTTGTATGCACAGCTAAACAGAACTGTCTTTAACCTGGTTTTAAACATTGTCAGAGAGGAGGCCTGTCTCACATCTTCAGGAAGACTGTTCCAGATTTTAGCAGCATGAATCTGAAAAGCAGCCTCCCCATGTTTAGTTCTGACTCTGGGCACTAACAGGAGTCCAGTCCCTGTGCTCCTCAGAGTCCGGGCTGGTTCATATGGGACTAACATGTCACTAATATATTTTGGTGCGAGGCCATGGAGAGACTTGTACACAAGCAGAGCTGTTTTAAAGTCTATTCTCTGAGCCACAGGAAGCCAGTGCAGAGACCTGAGGACTGGACTAATGTGGTCGTACTTCCTGGTTCTTGTCAGGACTCAGGCTGCTGCATTTTGAATGTACTGCAGTTGTTTTACAGCCTGTTTGGACAGACCTGTGAGCAGGCCATTGCAGTAGTCTAACCTACTGGAGACAAATGCATGGATAAGAATCTCCAGGTCTGCTTTAGACACTATGTTTTTGATCTTGGCAATTTTTTTTAGATGGTAAAAAGCTGCGGATGTTACTGATTTGATGTGGCTATTAAAATTTCCAGTCCAGTATCACCCCTAGATTTCTGACCTTGTTTGAAGGTTTTAGGGAGAGAGACTGTAGGTGACAGATGACGCTCTCTCTTTGTTTCTGGCGGACCAAAGACAATAATTTCAGTTTTGTCTGCGTTTAGCTGAAGGAAGTTGTTTTGCATCCACTCACTGATCTGTTGGATACAGTGAAGGAGTGAGTCCACTGGTCCATGTTCTCCTGCAGTCAGTGAGACATAGATCTGAGTGTCGTCTCCATAGTTATGATAGGAAACTTCGTTTCTGCGTATTAACTGACCTAACGGCAGCATGTAGAGATTGAACAGAAGAGGTCCCAGGATAGACCACTGTGGTACTCCACAGGTCAGGGCCATATGATCTGAGACACAGTTTCCAATCTCCACAAAGTACTTCCTGTCCTCAAGGTAAGACCTAAACCAACTTAGGGCGGTGCCAGCGACTCCAACCCAGTCCTCTAATCTCTGTAAGAGGATCTCATGGTCGACAGTGTCAAAGGCAGCACTTAGATCTAACAAGATTAAGATTGAGACTTTGCCTGCGTCAGTGTTCAGCCGGATATTGTTTGTAACCTTAACAAGAGCAGTCTCAGTGCTGTGGTGGGGTCTAAAGCCGGACTGAAACATATCAAATGAGTTGTTGATTATAAGAAATCTAGTAAGCTGTAGGTAGACAACTTTCTCAAGGACTTTCCCCATAAATGGCAGATTTGAGATGGGACGATAGTTGTTAAGTACCGTAGCATCGAGACTGCTCTTTTTTAGCAGGGGCCTGATGACTGCAGTTTTCAGGGCCTTTGGGAATATTCCAGAATGAAGGGACATGTTTACTATCTGTGTGAGTGAAGGTAACAGACTGCTCAGAACAGACTTCAGAAATCTAGTGGGTAGTACATCCAAGCTGCATGTGGAGGAGCTCAAACTGGAGATTATCTCTTGGACAGTTTTATCATTTACAGGTGCAAAGTGAGTTAGCTCAGAGAGCCTTTCTGGCTGTTGGATGGTTATCTGTGGATTGGAGACAATGGCGTTTTTGATGCCTTGAACCTTGTCATTGAAAAAATTGGCAAACTCGTTGCATTTACGTTTGGAAGTAAGCTCTAATTGCATTTGAACAGGGGGGTTTGTTAATCTATTAACTGTTGAGAACAGAACACGCAGATTGTTGCTGCAGCCTTCAATCATTTCAGAAAAATACATTTCTCTCGTACTACGTAGCACCCGGTTAAACTCGCACAACTTATCTTTGAAGATCTCGTAATCAACCTGGAGGTTGGACTTGCGCCACTTCCGCTCGGCCCTCCGGCACTTTCTCTTTTGTGCCCTGACCGAGTCTGCTTTAGCCCACGGCGCCTTCTGCTTATTTTTCACTATTTTAACCTTCACAGGGGCAACGGTATCCAGAACATTCAAAACACTAGAGGAGACAGAGTTAAACAGTTCATCTACAGTAGAATACGATGCATTCTCAAAGTTTATCATTCCCATAAATAGTTCACTCGTATTTTCATTTATGTGTCTTCTTCGTACAGTTGCAGAGTCCACTGGTGGTTTGTTAGTGAAACACATGTCAAAAAAAACACAGAAATGATCTGAAAGAGCAATATCGACCACGTTTACATTTGAAATATTCACCCCCTTAGTAACTAACAGATCTAGAGTGTGCCCTCTGCTGTGGGTGGGGCCACTCACGTGCTGAGTGAGATCAAAGGATTCAAGTACAGAACTCAGCTATATTATTAAAATCACCTGTAATAACCAAACAATCAAAATCTGTGCATACAACTGAAAGCAACTCGGTAAAATTATCAATAAAACTGTGACATGACTGCGGTGGCTTGTATAGGACAATGAAGAGTATTGGAGGAGATTGTTTTTGTTGTATTTTAAAAGACACATATTCAAATGACGAAAACTTCCCAAGAGACATTCTATGGGAGACAAAGTGGTCTCTAAAAATGGCAGCTAAGCCTCCTCCTTTTTGGTTTTCCCGTATTTCAGATTCAAACTTGAAATTTGGTGGTGATGCTTCTATTAAAACTGCATTTCCTGAATTTTGGTCAAGCCAAGTTTCAGCCATGAACATAAGATCAAGATTATGAGAACAAATAAAATTATTGATTAAAAAAGACTTGTTACAAAGAGATCTGACATTAAGCGTAGCAAGTTTCAAAGTTTCAGTATCAGCGGTTGTGGTCGGCTGATTCTTACACGGAACAAGAATTAGATTTTCCAGATTAGACTGATTAACTCCAGATGTTTTTCTGTAATGTATTCTTTGTGTTATCACTAAGGGAATGGCACAGGTGGCTTCATGACAGGGCCCCAGCCGGGTCTCTCCTCTAACTAGACTGCCAGTGGCTGCGAAGCAGAGACCCTGTGCATCCTAGTGTTTAGAGAAAAGAGGGGAAGGGGAAGGCGGGGGAGGAGGATGGAGAGGTGGGTGGCTTTTGGGTGTTGAACGAGGGGGGGCAGGGAGGTGGAGGGGTTTTTGGTGATGGGTTAGGGCCGGGGTGGGCTGAGGCAGAGGTTTTGGGTGTTGAACGAGGGGGAAGTGGGGGTGGAATGGTCATGAGGTTAGGGGAGGGACTGGCTGAGGTGGTTTTTGTAGGTGAATTGGAAACCCTAGGTGGTTTTGGAGGTATATATGGGGAGTGGTTTAGCATGTTGGACAGGACTCTAGATCTAGCTAATATGGGTGTGAGAGGAATAGTCTTCATCGCCGATTTTATTAGCCCTGCAGAGTGTTCAGGTAGGTCTAACAGTGAAGGCGGGGATGAAAAACAAAGGGACGTGTCCCCATTCTCTCTTGATGGAGTGGACGTGGCAGGGGGGACCCAAGACAGGTCCATGGGAGGTGGCGAGGGAGTCTTTGATGGAGGGGCAGGTGGTTGAGGAAACCCCAGCACTGGCCTGTCTGCTGTAGGCTGGGGTGAGGATTGGGGCTTCAGAGGCGCTGTAGATGAAGAAGGCGTGGCTGCTTTGGAGCAGGCTAGGGATGAGGATGTTGGTGGTGGTGGTCGTGCTGCTGATGCTGCTACTGGTGATGATACAGCTGCTGCTGGTGATGATGCAGCTGCTTCTGATGACAGTGGAGGTGTTGAGATCCTTTGAGGCGGTGATGGTGTTGAGATCCTTCGAGGTGGTGGTGGTGTTGAGATCCTTCGAGGTGGTGGAGGTGTTGAGATCCTTCGAGGTGGTGGAGGTGTTGAGATCCTTCGAGGCGGTGGAGGTGTTGAGATCCTTCGAGGCGGTGGAGGTGCAGAGACTTTTAGAGTCGGCTTCCTCCCTTTCGATAGCTGCACGCGCTGCGCAGGCTGAGGTCTCAGGGCAAAAGAAAGGTTATCCATCAACACTTTTACCCCGTAAGTGTTCAGATGTGGCCCTTTCCCTTCAAAAAGCTCATGCCTATTCCAGAACAGATTAAAATTCTCAATGAAGGCAAGTCCTCTGCGTGAACATTCGTTGAGTAGGAAAGTATTTAGCTGATACAGACGACTGAATTTCATTTGCTTCCCGTCCACATTTGGTAGTGGGCCACTGATAACGATTTTTGCGTCCATTTTAGCAAGGTCGTCCAATAAGAGAGAGTAATCCCGTTTCAACTTTTCACTTGTGTTGTCATAGACGTCTACTGCCCCCACGTGGAGCAACAATCTTTTTACCCCGCCGGTCTCAGACAGAAGCCTCGGAGCCAACCGCCTTATCTCATCCACTTTGGCAGAGTGTACTGAGTGAACCTTGAGATTACGCATGTTTACATGTCTTATCGCAGAATCCCCGATAAAGAGCGACTCAGCTGCATTTGACCTTGACTGAGACTGAGACTGGGACTGAGAGACTACTGCTGATTCATCTTCCAAAAGTGGTGAAAAGCGGTTTCTTGTAATTAAAGATTTTTTCTGTGGCATTATGACACTCTTATCATTACAAGGCAAAGTTATCATTAGCTTTGCCTTGTTTGGGCTTGGCACCATATGTGTTCCAACAATTGTCTCTGTTGATTTTGGGAAATGAAATAGCGTCATCATAACTTACGTTCTGTCCATTTGGTCCATTTCCTTTCACTGGTATTGTTGTGTTCAGCCCCAATTCTGATTCAAGCACAAACATTCGGTCTAGAAGAAGTTTTAGCTCCTGTTTGAGTGAAAAACAGCCGTCGCAAAGTTTTGTTCTTTTTTCCCGTCCTCCCGACATGCTGTAAGTTTGTAAATTCCACAAGTCTTGTGTTGAAGTTTGTAAAAAGGAGTAATTCGTGTTTTGTGGAATAAAAATGTAAGCAAAAAGGATTAAAGGAGATAAAAAAGCAGCAAGCGAGGAGCAGCAAGAGAATGCGACTGCTCTGTCCAGAGCAGGAAGTACTGCACTCCTGTGTGCCATAGGATCTTGTAGCGTGCCTTTGACTGCAGCGACAGGTATAACCATGCAGGCAGTCCCATGCGCTGTGGCGTGTTCACTAAAGTTAATTATTTTAAAAGCAAAATGTATTCATGCTTAGTTCTACTCTTAACTTAGCTAGGGACCTGTTATCTAGCTGGTTGTGGTCAGCATTACGCACCACAAGTGGCGCGGGTCGGTCCGCCCCTTCATAGCGGCTGCTCTGAGCGCAGCCTCCTGTTTGGCCTAAAGCTGTGGACCATGCGTTCTTGGGGCTTCTAATTGGTAGGCTTTATGTATTAAGATATACTTATTTTCCTTTTTGTTATTTATTTAGTTAGGTTTTTCCTAGGTAACTTTCTAAATTCATCTTTTTATAGGTGCGTTCCAGCGGCAATGGCACACACCCCCCTGCTGCTTTGCTTCTGCTTCGGCTGCCTTGTCTCAGTTTCAGCTGTTTTGTCTCTCTGCTTGTCTTCGCAGCTTTGCATCGCTGCCTCGATTTTCACATTTGCTTCACTGCTCTGCTTTATGACTGTTTCACTCCACTGTGTTTTGCTGCTGCGTGTCCCTCGCAGTTGATGCCTGCGTTCAGCACTCACGCACTTTAGCGAGGGCTGCGTCCCGGCTCTGGGGCATAAGCTACTTGTGGGAATGTGCAATGAGCAGTGAATGTGAGTTGAGTGTGCGAATGAGTGTGTGACTGACTGTATATATTTAATTAAAATATAAGGCTGTAAACTGTATTGATTACACTGTAAAATAAACCTGTTAAACTTGGAACCTGGTGCATTTTAATCTTTTAATACTTACCTGTGTGTCCTTATTTTATAGTACAGTACTCTTCCGGTGAAATTCCGGTCGTGGCGTTGCTTGGTTTATTTAATCACTTCCATATTTTAACCTGTTATAATTAATTAATTTAACTTATTTCCTCAATTAAATACCACTACCCCTAGGCTGCCACAATTGCATCCTATATACATTCTGTTCCTCATCTGTCACAAACCTGGAGTTGTTTTTAGATCCAGCCAGGCTAATATCAAGAACTTCTGTCAGAAAAATGTCACTCTGAACTTGTTTTCTTGCTTCTAGGATTTCTATAAATCCACACTTTAGTACAACAAACTTGGCTCGCTCTTGCCCGCTCGAGCCCTGCTATGATCAGTGGCACTCTGATTGGTCAGAACACTCACATGTGCAATGTGAGCGAGCGCCGACGTCCACAGTCAGCTCTGTGGACCTGACTGTGGACCTGACTGTGGCCCTTGCTCCCATTTCTGTGAGTGACAAATGCCCACAATTGTAAAGCGCTTTGTAACTCTGGTCTGTGAAAGGCACTATATAAATAAAGGTCACTTACTTACTTGGACCGCTCATGAAAAAGCCGATCTAAAGATGTGGCCGATCTATTTGTTGAAGTTTGAAAGTTTACCTAAGCTGTAATGTAGAAAGTGTCCTTACACGACAGTATTTCTTTTATACTTAGCACAGATCTGAGTGGAGGACCTTTTTGCTGTGAAGTGCTTGTTAACAGTGTTGTGTCCGACCTTGGCCCAGTTGGGACGTCCTGGCTGCGTTCTGGTCCTCAGCCCTGTGATGGAGTCCCTCTTCTCCTTTTTGGCGAGGAGATCTAGCGCCATCTGCAGCCCGATGGCCTTCATGTCATTCTTACTGAGCGCTGACGTCATGTACATGTGCATCTCCAGGAAACGCCCTGAACAACAAAAGTACAGCAGGCTATTAACACTCCCAGAATTATGAAACTAATAGAACTCCCAGACCAGATGCAAATTAGCTACATAGCTCCAATCTGGTGTATTTACAGTTACTGCTGTTCATTAATGCACACTGCCCCATCCAAATGAACAAATACATAAAAAAGCAGACATTTCTTAATAGAATTCTGAAATCACTCACTTTTAATAAGTGCTAGAACCAGTGAATATAACTAATATACCAAAAACTGTTTGTTTAAAGACTACCAAATGCTAACTGCTGACAGTAAACAGTGAAGAACTTGCACTCATTCTGCTCTAATGGGAAACCAGAACCAGGGTCTACCATAGAATGTTGGTTTCCCGTGACTATAAATAGCTAGATTTGAATCTCACTTTTTGTGTGGAAATTCCAGTACATGTTAAAGCATTAAGAACAAAAGGAGCACTCAAAATATGATGAATTGCTGTAATATTTAGAACACTAGTTCTTTGTGCTGAAAGAACAATTAAGCATTTTGGACAATAAACAATGAGACTGTTTAGTTTGTCATTTCAAGGATTAGAATGTGAAAAGATATTTTAAATATATCAAAAACATATGAAGTAACAAGTATGGGGTATAACATTCTTTACACTTGCTACCTATGCTGCCACCAGAGGGAGGCATAAAATTGGTTTTTCACAAATTATACTTGAGAAATTACCAAAACTAATTCACTTTTATTTTAAAAGGCAAAGCTTTAAGACAGAGGGGGCAGAGGTATATGTTTGTGCCATTTCTAAAAACTTGATTTTGCATAATATGTCTTTATATATCTGTGTGCAAGTATAAATCAAAGACTATTTTGGTAATTTTTGCTCCAGATCATTCTGGCTCCGATTGACATTGAAACGTAAACTCCTCTACCTCACACAACCATGTTCAAGATTCAAGATTCAAGAATTTATTTGCCATTTGCAGTAAAACCCCATTGGAAAAACTGTGCAAGACTACCCCAGTGTGCACCAGTACGTAGCAACACATCTGCCCCGTTACGGCGCAAAGCTAAGGAAATTGGCTTCAGCTAGCTAATGTTCAAATCGACTTCTTCAGCATTAGGAATCACACTATGGTGACATAGTGTGCATACAACTGAAGGATTGTATCTTCACTTTTTAAACATACTCTATTCTGATTTGAATGCCTTGTGTGATTAAACATTACCTTTTTAAGCACTTTAAGTTGCCTTGCCGTTATAGTTCCATACCTTCAGGCTCCTCGTCGGCCTGGTCCATCTCCAGTTTGGTGAGTAAACTTACGAACCACTCAAAAGACTTCTGGTCTCTGTTTATCCAAATGAAGTCCACCTCAAGAAACAAAGAAAACCAGGATACACTTTTCCTGTTAACTTTTACGTTGTGTTCCCAGTGTGACATTTTGCTGAGATTCCAATTAAATCTTGGATACCTATTTTTCAAACCACAAGAATATGGAACTATGTAGTAAAATCCACTATAGTTCCTCACTCTACCACTAGTTTTCATAGATTTTTGGCCTCTGTCACATCTTTTTCAGACAGAAAAGTGAAAAAAGAGGATCCCCCTTAATCGGCCAATCAACTCTCAGCCCAAAAGACCCTTTCTGTGAGATGTTATCTTTTGTCACAAAAGATAACATGTTTTCTGATAAGATATAGACAGAATGTGGTGGTCCGAACACTTTTACAAGACTTTTCTTGTTGAGACAAAGAACATGTATTATTTATGATAAAAAGTGAGGTACCCCAGCTTTAATCTTGCAGTTCCATGCAGTTTTTATGAAAAAATTATTAGCCAAATAGATCCAAATAGAGCCATCCATATTGATAGCTTGTTTTTCTGTTGTATTTTTGAATGCTGAACTCACTTTTCTCAGTTTCATGTCCCCGTCCTTGATGTTCTCGCACCACGAGTAGCTGCAGTTAGGGCAGTTCTGTTTCCTCAAACGATACCTACCGAGACATAAGAGCATTTGTTTTTAAATTCTTGCCGCACCAAAAATGTCTGGTCAACAGTCGGATCTGAATCCTGAATCCTGTTATCACGGACTTTGTAGACTGGTGTGAGCGCAACCACTTGTGCTTGAACACCAGTAAGACCAAGGAGATGGTAATCTCCACTTTCCCACACGCTGCTGAACATCCAGGGGGAGGACATTGAGCTGGTTGACAGCTTCAAGTACCTGGGTGTTCACATTAACAATAAACTGGACTGGTCCCATAATACAAACGCCCTGCACAAGAAGGGCCAAAGTCGCCTCTTCATTCTGAGGAGGCTGCGGTCCTTCGGAGTGAGCAGGCCTCTGCTCAGGACTTTTTATGACTCTGTGGTAGCGTCTGCCATACACTACGCTGCTGTGTGCTGGGCCCCGGGCAGCACAGAGCGGGACTGGAGTAGACTGAACAAGCTGGTCAGGAGGGCCAGCCCCACTCTGGGCTGGAGGTGAGGAGGAGGTGAGGGACAGGAGGGTGCTAGTCAAAGTCACCTCCATCATGGACAACACCTCCCACCCACTGCACAGGACTGTAGAGGAGCCTCAGTGCAACAAGGACCGCTACCGCAGCGCTACCGCAGCGCTACCTTTATCCCCACCGCTGTCAGACTGTATAATAAGTCACTTAGGACTAGGACAAAAAAAACCCTGCACTTATATTGACACTGTTTCTTTGATTGCCACTTTTCAATTGCCACTTTTTATTGTACATAATATATCCTGCATTTAACATGTTTGCACTTTTTTTTCTTTTGCACAATCTTGAGTGATTCTATCCATGCCAGATGTGACATGTAAATATCTCCTGTGTGAGATCAATAAAGTCTATCTTATCTTATCCGTGTCCAAACGATCCTTTATTTTGAAAAATTACCGGATTCTTTCCTTACGTCTACAGGGCATTTTTCATTCATTCCATACATGTTGAATAAATGAACGTCTTGATCACATGACGAGCTGTGGGGTCTGTGATACCTGTACATGATGCTCTGGAGGATGGAGGCAAATGGTGTGATTCCGATCCCCGCCCCGATGAGCACAGCGTGTTCAGAGGCAAATATCTGTCTGGTGGGTGTCCCGTACGGCCCATCTACGTAGCACTGGATGGAACAGGACCAAGCAGACAGTCAGCACTCTGAATAACGCTAAAGACTGTTTAACCAGTCACTAACACTGAAAAGTACCCTCCATACTCTGTCATTCTCACATTAACATTCTTAGATGCATCCCTCTTCAGGATGGGACTCTAAAATCTTGGTAAACTCACCCTAGCCCTAACCTTAAAGCTGGGGTAACAAACTTTTAAACCACAAAATAATAGAACCAGGAGTGAGTATCGTTCAGAGCCTGCCTATACAATACAATATAGGGGACTTTAAATTTGAAACAATAGATTTCAAATAGAGCTGTCTATTTCTTGCGTTAATGCACGTTCACAGAAAAAATCATTAATCGCGTTAAAAAAATTCAATGCTACACTCAAAAATACAACACTATTGATGCATTTATATTTTATTTATAGAAGATGAATTGATGTAGTCACAATACAATACAAATAACTAATATGTATTAAGAATAAATGGGGAACATCTTTAATAAAATATATAATACATAGATATTTTATCTAATTTAACAATTTCAATATTAGTTTAAAATCCATTTTATAGCATAAAATCCATGTCACTGGTTCTTAAAACAGTCTGCTTCTATAGTGCATGTGTGGCCTCTGTCACATCTGTTGCAGATTTTTCAGACAGAAAAGTTAAAAAGGGTGGTCACTCAGCCAATCAGCTCTCAGCCCAAAGAATCAAATAGTGACTCACAAAACCCTAAAAGATAACATGTTTTCTAATGAGATGAAGACAGCATGAGGACTACTGGAGCTGGAAGATTACATCCACAGAGGGGAAACCGGGGAACCCGGAGGAAACCCACCCAGACACAAGCAAACACACATCTATAATCTGTGTTTCATGACATTACCTTGATGTTGCAGAATCTGTGGTTTTCCCCAAACCTGGACGGGACCTGATGAAGGACACACACAAGAACTAACATTTCACACAAATGGTTGATGAGATAAAACTACAACTACTTCTTTATTTTTTGTATTAAATCATGTACATTTTTGTACAATTTTACCAATTTAGGCCAGGGGTGTAAAAGCAGTCCTCGAAGGCCTGTGTGGCTCCAGGTTTTCATTCCAACCAAGCAGGAGCACACCAGACCCCACCCATTTCCTCAAGTGAATCCAGTCTTATGCCGCGTTCAGACCGGATCATGCATTGCGTCGGCTTTCAATGCAAAGTCAATGGTGACGCGCGTTCGAGCGCCAAAAGTAACGAGCGTCTCGGAATGCACGCATGGTCTGCGCGGGGAAGTCGAAGGGGAGGAACGCAGGAGATGAATTTTGCTCAACCTTTCCTCGGGACGTTCGTGCAGCCACCAATCAAAGAGCCGCAAAGTGGTCACGGGGACATTAGCGGTCTGAGCGAGCAGACTGAAAATACTCGTAAACAGCCAAAACAGGAGCTACATCAGGACTAAACCAGGGTTGACAATGGGGGACATAGTGCTTGTTAACATGTGAGTTTTCATGCCACCGTGACTTTATGCAACTGCTTCGAGTGTGTTTGCCGATGCGGAAGTACCGTTTAATAATAAAATACACTTATTGCGCACCTCTGTGAACACATACTACTGTTATATTAAGTCCGTGGAAGGTCTCTGAACACACGCACGCTGCAAAGCTGCATTATTTGAGAAGATCTTTACACAAGAAGCCGCTAGCTAAACTCTGTTAGCATCAGAGCCCGCCGGCTATTTCCGCCACTTCCGGCACACGCCAGGACTTCTGGTCTGAAGACCCCTGCATCTGAAAACTATAGAATGTGCCTTTCAGCGTTAGCGGTCTGAAAGCACCATTAGCCTGAGGGACCTGAGGAAATGTCATTTTGAGGCCGGTTTGACACCACTGATTTAGGCCGACAGCCTAAATCAGTGGTGCCTAAGAGCACTTATAGAGAGTTACGGACAGCATTTTTTACCTTTCATACTTTCACCATATAGTTAATATAATGCAGACAAAAGTAAAAGAAAAAAGTAGAAAGTCTAATTTCAATTTTAAATGGCCAAAAATAATGCATAATATTTTTTCTATAGTTGTGACCTAAAATGTAATGAAAAAATCTCACATCTTTGTAGTTGAGTGCCTCTCCTCTCTCTGTCTGAACCAGCAGCTCCAGGCCTCTTGTGTCTGGACTGACGCCACTCTCTGGACTCTTGTTGGGTCTGGGTGTGGTCTCCCCCAGACTCTCCTGTGGTTTCGTCTTGGTCTCTGGACTCTGGACCAGTTTTTGCCCGTTCTCCTCTGGCTGAGACCCGGTTCTGTTTGGCCGGTACATGGTGAGCTCCACCGCCTGGTCTTCATTTGATGCCACAGCTCCCAGACACTCTGTGGAGCTGAAGAGGGTCTCCTGAGACAGAGACACATTTATGACAATCACAAAACGAACGAAGCCGCAGATCAAGTTAGCAAATCATTGGATTTAGATTTTCTTCGAGCAAAAAGTGTGATGTATTTTCTCACAATGATCTTCTATAAAAATTGAAATTGTGATTTTGAGGAGAGGACTACTGAGTGGTGATGTCACCATTTAATGGTTCCTTATAAGTGAAATATATCAATCAATCAATCAAATTTTATTTATAAAGCGCTTTTCATACATAAGATGCAACACAAAGTGCTTTACAGATTGGTTAAAAACAATCCCGCCGACCCAAGACCCCTCCCCCAGACCACCCAACAGACCCCCCCCAAACCACAGACAAACACACACACACGCGCTCATGAACACTCATACACACACACACACACACACACACACACACACACACACACCAGTAAAACAATAAAAACATGATGAGAGACTTGGCAGGGTTCAGATGCAACCAGCTGAAAAAGCGTCATCCAAGGAGCCGTCTGCACCAGGAGCAGAGAGCCGCCCGTAGCCACAGGGGACGACACAGGACCCAGAGGAGACATGAAACCGAGGCCCCAGGCCCCCACCAGGCCCAAGAGTCCGACCCCCGCAGCCACACCGACCACTGCTCCCGGTGCAGAGGGCTCCTCCAGAGGAGGAGCCCAGTATATACAGTATGTGTTAGTAGCATAGTTGCTAAGGCATGGTGGAGTTTCCCCTTGGAATGAAATCAAGTGATTGGTCAATCCCATGAGTATACAATAATAACTGGATAGGGTATTACTAGCTTATAGCTGTTTCATCCACGTGCACAGGGGTCACTTGCGGTACTGCAGACAAAATTTACCGGGGCCACCCAGAAAAATTTCCCATAGAACTTAATGTTAACAGCTTTCATAAAGGTCAGATTTTGTGGGGATTTTTTCCCTTGTCATCCTGAATTTTTTTTTCTTATAAATCCACACATTAGTGCAACAAACTCTGCTCATTTTCCTTCCGCTTTAATCAGCAGGGCGCTGATTGATCAGAATGCTCCCATGAACCCCTGGGCATGTGCATGAGAGCCACACAGCGTTCTTGTTAGTATTTGGCGCAAAGCAATATGGGAGGCCGTCCACTGTGCAGAACCAGGAGGATGACAGTTTACTTTTCGATGTAAGGCAAAAAGAGCCAGAATGAGTTAAAGTAAAACTTTGTCCATGAACACTTCGACAGTAGCTCAGTTGGTAGAGCACTATTCTTTGGACCTAATGTTTATGGGTTCAAGTCCACCACGACCCATGTCATCTGCTTCCACTTATGTCTGCTTTCGTTGTTTCCCTGGGCAAGACGCTTAACCCCACATTGCCCCGAAGCCCCCACTGAAAGACCAAGGCCATCTCGTCAATGACTGAGAAGCCATCATCCTGTGCACCCACCACCTGCAGGAGGATCAGCGAGGAACTGGTGCTATGAGACCCAGAAATTGATTAATAAAGGGGGAGACAATGACATGACACTTCCCTATTGGGCTTCATTGAGCTAGCAGGTTAGCACTTCCCATCTATATATACTGTATATATATATGTATCCTGATCTGTATATACAGCTCTATGGTTCGGACCTGTGTTGTGGAGTCCCCCCTCTTCTTCTTCAGGCTGGTGCTCAGTCTCTTGGGGCTGTCCTGAAGCTCTGGTTGTCTGAAGTATTCGTACAGACGGTTGGTCCACTGGCCCATGGAGCGCACATGCAGCCACAGAGTGTCTGAAGAGTTAAGTTAAGTTATTACTTTATTTGTGCAATGTATTTGACCCATCCTTCATTGCCATCGTAATGCGCATAAATAAAAAAGCAGAACCTTGAAGGAAGTATGGCCTCAGTGACCCATCAGGTTGCTTTTTACCTGACTGCTCCGGGGCACTACTGATGGTGAAGGGGTGCCACTCGTATTTAGCGATGGCCGGGATGTTGATATAAACGTAATCACCGGGTTTGAACTGGAAAAACTGTGGACGGTGAATGACCAAATGAGTCACCTGAAAAAACAAACACCTATTGTTAATTTGATTTTAAAAAAAGATAAGAAGATAAAATAAACTTTACTGATCTCACAATGGAGAAATTTACAAATTGTACAAAAAAGCCTGAACTGATATTCAAGTCAATATTTGCTGATGCTGGAGGGTCTAAAGACAGTGAGGATCCGGGACATTTATGAACATCTATGGACTGTTGTCAACCTGCTAGGTATGGACCAATGGTACCTACGTGTTTCTTATTGCATTTCCTTCAAGACGACTATTTGTGTGATTCAGGGTATACAAAAATAAATAGAATAGAATTTTTAAAATATCTGCCTTTAATCAAATGAACACTCAACTAAAAGAAAATCCAATTCAATTTGAATTCTCTCGTCCTTTCTCATTAGTTTCATTAGTTTATGAACAGCTGTATATACAACCCAGGGATTCACAGGAACTGTTGTCATTAACATTTGAAAATAGAAAACACATTTATTTTACAATAAACAGCTTCACACAATGAGTGAGACAGGACCTTGGACGGCAGCAGGTTGACTTCGGCGATGTAGAGGCTTCCCATCCGAGAGCGAGCCATGCCAATGATCTTCTCCAGCAGAAAGACAACTCCGGGGACCACAAACCACTTCCAGAAGTTTGCACAGTGGATCACCAGCAGAGTCCAGACCCAGATGTACGAGAGGTGAGACCAGTAAAACACCTGCAAACCACAGGGAGCAGCAGAGGGACATTGAAAAAACGAATGGTGCATTCGATGTACAGAAGACACAACAAGCTGCTGTCTAATATAACATGATCATATGTGGGTGAAGAGGTCTTTCCTCAAGTGGAGGAGTTCAAGTCTCTCAGGTCATCACAGTGAGGAAAGATGGAGCGACAAGGACTTTCATGAGTTTCCTCTGCAGAGTGGCAGGGTGCTCCCTTACAGATAGAGTAAGGGGCTCAGTTAGGATCTCGGAGTAGAGCTGCTGCTTTGCCACGTTGAGATGAGCCAGTCGAGGTGGCTCGGACATCTGTTTGGGATGCCACTTGATGGAATCAGACTCCAGACACAGTTTTTATCCTTACAGTATCTGCTTTAGTTTTTTACTATTATAATACTGTTTATATTTAAAACAACTAAAGACCCAAAAAAAGTGTCAAGACCTCAAAGTGCCCACTGCGGCGCACAAAGGTCATGGAGCAGACGACCATGAGGAAGATAAGCGCCTGCAGCACGACTCCGGTCAGCGACGCCGTGCCTTTGACCCAGCCAATCCCTGGACGAGTCGTGAACACATACTCCCAGAACAGGAACTTCCCAGACTCCGACAGTTTAGCTGAAGCACAGAAAATGGTTAAAGCTGGGGTACCTAACTTTTGTGTGTGTGATCAATACATATGGTTTGTCCCAACATAGAGTCTTGTTAAATTAAATGTAATGAACAAATAAAATCCTCCCCTCTATATCACTTTTCAAATGATTTTTATGACATAGTTATTATTTGATGTTTCAAAATTAGGAACCCCTGCTTTAAGAAGAATTACAAGTATGTGGACAAACATGAAACATGATGAGATAGGATTGAGATTGCACTTCCATCTTGTGGTAGAAAGGAATATTACAACCTATATAATTTGATACAACAGTCCATGATGCAACAGTCTCTCACACCCACACGTGCGCACGCGCACGCGCACACGCACACGCACACGCACACGCACACGCACACGCACACGCACACGCACACACACACGCACACACACACACACACACACACACACACACACACACACACACACACCCCTGATTCCATGTGTTATTGAAGTTGAAGAGATGTGTGTTACCAAAGTTGAAGAGGTGTGCGCAAGTGTGCAACAGTGTGTAGGACAGGATGGCATAGCCCACGATCTGATGCAGCAGCACGCTCTGGTCCAGAGGCAGCACTTTCACCAGCCACGTTGCTCTGAGCCAGGTGAGACAGCGACGCAGCATCAGCACCTGGGGGAGACCAGAGATGAGGACAGGGGAAAGGGGACAGGGGGGAGGACTGAGGACAGGGGTGAGAACAGGGGTCAGGTCAGAGATGAGGACAAGGGGGAGAACAGGGGAGAGACCAGAGATGAGGACTGAGGACTGGGGTGGGGACAGGGCTGAGGACAGGGAAGAGAGCATAGTTGAGGACAGGGGTGTGGACAGGGGGGGGGAACCAGAGATGAGGGCAATGAAGAGAACAGAGCTGAGGACTGAGGTCAGAGATGTAGACAGGGCTGGGGACAGGGCTGAGCACAAGGTACATGATTCTATTGTTGTGGCTTGAGAGTGAACTACCCCAGCTTTAAGGGAGAGTTCTACCACTCAGTGGTCGTACCAGGATGAGGGTGCAGTTGAAGTTGAGGCACTGGCCACAACCTCGGGCCAGCATGTACCAGGGCCCCCCCTCACGACTCCTCCACATGGCCGAGCTGAACAGGCCCAGGCTCAGCAGAGAGTACCCCATCAGGAACAGCAGTTTGCGGCTGTTATTCTGCCAGTACGAGGCCGTCAGGTACCGGGGCGTCTGCCGCTTCTTCTGGTCCACCTCCGGAGGCTTCAGCCAGTTTGCCGCGCTGACAAAGACACACCAACACAGAGATTATGAATTTTATCAATGGCCACCAAATGATTTTAAAGATATTATAGAGCCTGTTCAGTTAACTCTCTAAGAAAGTTTACCTGATTTGGGATTTATTTTTTTATGTTTGTAAAATTATTATTAATGATTTTTTTCAGTCATTCCTTGCCAATGCAGGAGGGTGTAAGGACAGTGATGATCTGGGACATTTGTTAACATTTCTTGACAGCGGTCCTCCCTCTCCCTCTGGACTAATAGGTTAAAAGCATAGATCGTACATAGGAGTGAACTGACCAAGTCTGACATCACCATAGTGTTAGCCTTAATGCAGAAAATAAACAGATTTGAACATACACTCGCTAGAGCCTATTTAATTATATGGCAATTTTTCTGGAAGATTATTTTGTTGTGGTGTGAAAGTTAGGTACCCCAGCTTTTAGATAAGAAAAAAAACCAACATAAGAAGTGGATGTTCGTTGCCCAGAGCAGTTACCTGATGGTGAGGTTCTCCATGACCTCGGGGAACGTCTCCAGTTCGGCCTTCAGCTCCTCGAAGGTGATGGCGCCGCTGTTGTCTTTGTCCGCAGACTCAAACAGGGCCAGCGTTAAATCGTCCAGCTTTTCTTCTGGCAGAGAGATGGCACTCTCCCGCAAACATGACTTCAACACAGTGCGCAGTTCATCAGGGTCAATTGAACCGCTGCCTGTCGATCAACATGAGCAGCTCAAAAACACAGGGTCATGACTCTAATACAGATCCACACAATCTTAACAAAGGATCTCATTATAGCCTAATCCTGGAAAAACTTGGTTGGTACCCAGCTGGTTTAAGTTTATAAGCACAGTAGAACGTTACTAAAATAAGATTTCATCACTTCCAGAAGAACACTTCAAAGACATACTGGGGTGGCTGCGGCTGAAAAGTGCCAGGCTGTCTTTGCTTCACCCATACTGTATGTCCTAGAATGAGCCTGATATGTGTGTGTGTGAATTGTTGGTTGTGGTTGGAGAAGCCTATGGCACAGGCCTTACTTCTGTCATGGCAGCTGTGGTAGTTTTGGAAGTGTAATGACACCGAGCCAATGGTGGTGGACCCGGGATGAGAATTATTCAACGCTAATGTACGTATCTTCTTACCTCTTGAAAACGGGTTTACAGGATTGTCCAAATTGGCCCATATGGTTCCAGATATGTGTCAATGCTAAGGGGAGTGAATTTTTTTGGAGCAGTCTAGTTTAGCTGCTGAGAAATTTTGAAGGCACTCGTCAAATGAATGGGGCTTGTGCCGACTGACAAATGCACAGATACGTTTTTCACATTTTTCAGCCCCGCGGCCATTTTGAAACTGCCCATAGAAGGCAAAAGTGATGGCACATTAGTTTCAACGGCGGAAATACAGTAGGCGTGACTACGTTCATTAATATTTATAGTCTATGAGAATGACTCAGGTCCTGTTCATTTGTGGTCTTCATAACTTTGGGACTTTTTCTGTGTCTGCATGGAGTTTATTTCTATGTCATTACATTTATGAAATAATCTTTTGAATTGGACATTTGAGGAGCTCAAACTTTTACTCCCTGAGCAGTTAATTTGACTGCTTAATTAATGTGAATGTAAAATTCAAATATAACCATTTTTGGTTATAAAAACTGTCACTCCCACACTCAGTAAACCTGGTTCCGATTCCTCTGACCTCAATAACTTTCGCCCCATTTCAAACCTTCCCTTCATCTCCAAACTTTTGAAAAAACTGTTGCAGCTAAACTCCACTCCTTTATGAACAACTTCAATGTGGCTTCTGTCCACAGCACTGAAACCACCTTCAACAAAAACACCAATAATCTTCTCCTCTCTGCTGACTCCGGTTCACTTTCCATTCTCCTCCTCCTTGATATCAGCCCAGCATTTTACATAATCTCACATTCCATTCTTCTGGACAGCCATTCGGCCATCATAAGCACTCCCCCCTCCTGGTTCCGCTACTACCTTTCTGACTGCACCCAGTTCATCCAGCTTAAATCTTTTTCCTCTTGCTCCTTTCCTCATCACTTCTGGTGTTCCACAGTGTTCAATCCTTGGCACTTTGCTTTTCTTAATCTGCACTCTCCTCCTTGGTCGCATAATCAGAAAACATTGCTCGGTCTCCCTTCATAAAGTCCAACTGGTCCAAAACACAGCAGCTCGCATCATCACACTTCATCTTCCATCTTCATCTTCCACATCACCCCTGTCCTCCAACAGCTCCACTGGCTCCCCATCACTCCAATATATAATCTTGCTCCACACATTCAAAGCCATCCACAACCTTGCTCCTCCACACAAGCCTAGACAAGCCTATTCACTTACACCATAACAACCCCATCCTCTGTTCATGCTGTTTCTAACTTTTTCTTTTTACTATAAGCTATTTTCCAACAGATTTGGAAATCCCTCTTAACAAGTTGATCTTCCCTATATTGTGTTCTGGACACCGAGAGGACCCTATTGGAGCTAAGCACCGAACCCTGTTGGAGCCGAGCATAGGAACCTGTTGGACCCGAGTACAGGACCCTTTTGCTATGAGGCGAGACTCACCGTCCACGTCGTAGACCTGGAAGAGGAAGCGTAGTTTGTCAGTCTCTGTGCCATGGATTAGCAGCTCCAGTGCCTCCAGCAGTTCGTTCAGACTGATGGTTTTACTGCCGTCAGAGTCGAAGAGTGCGAAGAACCGCTCAGCGAAGAAAGACTGAAAACAGCAAGCCAATGTCAGTTCAAACTCCAGGTAACTCAAAGTGTTTCACGAAACAGTCACACAAGGCTTTACAATCATAAATAATCACATTGTCCCTAGCTTCTGGACATCTGATGATCTATTGGACACAGCCATTTGCAGAACAAGAACCAGCCAATGAAAATGTCTATTGCCGATGCTCTTGCTACAACCAGAACCACAACTGTGACCAAATGCAATATACATGTTAAGTATTCAGACATCTGACAGACAAAACTTTGACTTTTTAGTCTGGGAGACTGAGCAACTGTTAAAATGTTTTAATAAACTATAGTGAATAGTGAAAGTAAAGTACACAGTCTAAGATTAAATAGTGAAAATAATACAGTGAAATAAGTGAAGTGTAAACAATTATCATTAGAATAAAAGTATAGAGTAATAAAAGTGAAATTAGCTTCTAATTGAGACTCAGCTCGTTTTTGTCTGTGTTTTGACTGAATCTGCTGAGTTCTTGTGTGTATAATAGTGTAGTGTTTGTTTTTATTTTTGGTTGTTTCTGTTTTTTGTTTGTTTATTTACTTTATTTTTGTTTGTTTGTTTTTTTCCCAGGATAGAGGATAAAATCCACTGATAATAATTTTTAAAAAGTTTTTTTTTAGAATGTTTTATTTTATTGATTGATCAAATTGAGTGATCACATGTGATTATGTGATCACATGTGATCACTCAATTTGACTCACTCAAGTTCACTGGAACTTGAGAGAAACTTAAATAAACTTCCAGAGTTTGGCGCACCACGATCCGTCTCTGTCTGCTGAATCCCTGACAGTACATTAAAAAGAGTGAAGATACAATCTGTTTTTAACCTGGATTTGGACATTGTCTCACATTTTCAGGAAGACTTCCAGATTTTAGCTGAATAAATCTGGAACACTGCTTCCCCTGGCCTCTGGTCAATCATCATTTCCCTGCATGTAACGTCTGGGTCTGGTCCCTGTGTTTGCAATTACATCAGTTGAATCCGTCTGACCAATCAGCGAGCGCAGGAGGCGGGTGACGTCAAGAGTTCGCGCCAAACTGGCAGGTTGTAGTTTGTCAATGGCGCAGAATACGATAGTAAAGCAATCCGTTCTGGTTTTATCAAGAAATTGAAGCCGGAGCAAGAGGAATGTTTAGCAAATGTAATTGCTGGCAAAGATTGTGGCGCTACTCCCCACGGGCTCCGTTAGCGGCAAAGGATATGGCTAGGCTAAATGCTAAAGGCTAACGACTCACTTGGGCGCATTACATACGTCACGGTAAACGATCCAATCGTTTCAATCTTCTTATTGGGAGTTATCCTCTCCCACCTGTTAATGGAGCTCAATGGAGAAAACCCAGACCTTAGTACAAACTGAAATTTGTAATTTGGTTTGGTACGACCAGGCTGTGCCTCCCCATGTTTAGTCCTGACTCTGGACACCAGCAGGAGTATGTGTGTGCTTTCTCGACCTGTGGTTCCCAATCAGTGTTAATAATAATAATAATGCATCGGTTTTATATAGTGCTTTTTTGGACACTGAAAGACGCTTTACATCTTTATTCTTTCACTCCATACACGGTGATGATAAACTACTACTGTAGCCACAGCTGCCCTGGGGCACACTGACAGAAGCGAGGCAACCAGTATGCGCCATCAGCCCCTCCGATCACCACCAACCATTCACACACACACCAGACTCATTTTAGGCAATGGGGGTGAAGTGTCTTGCCTAAGGACACAACGGCAGTTTGGCACTTGTGTTACAGTGCAGGGAACTATTGCTGGGGCTCTATAAAGCTCTTGGGCACTTGAAATAGAGAGAAATACAAATCAATTTAAAAGACAATGTCCTGTTGTTTTTCCAGATCATTATTTGATTGAGATCAGATTTGGAATGTATTGATGTCACATGAACGCAAACTATTAGGATGCAGCTCGTATTTAAAACTCGTAAAAACTCTATAATCTATAATTTAATCAACATTTATTTGTGTTGTTTTTATCCCCTATTTTCCCCAACAAAAAACTCATCCCTCTAGTGGTAGCATAGAGAGTTACAGGTGGAAAGCATTTTTACCCATTCATAAAGTTTCACTGTATCTTTTTCTAAAACATGAAATGACAAAGTAAATAATCTCATTATAAATTTTAATAGTAAAAAAAAAAACAGATAATATTTATTAAGGGGTAAAGGTTATTTCAAATATGAACATTTCTTGTTTAGTTTTATTGAGTCAAACTGGGCTCACCTCTTTGACCTTGAGCGCGGTTTTAAACTCGTCCAGGTCAATCTCCTTGTCTTCCCCCGCAATACTCTCAAACTGCTTGGTGACCCACTCCAGCCAGCGCGCGTCATCGTCCAGACTCATGACGCCCACTGGATGAACAGAAATCACAGAAACACACCACATTCAAGCTTTGGGGGGACATGCTTTTGGCTCCAGAACACACAGAACACACAGAGCACACACAAAAGCTTCCAGTGGCTATCATTGTTTGAATTGGCATTCATCCAGGACATAGAAAACAGAGCTTCTTAGGACTTCCATTGAAGTGGACAAAAAATTAAACAATAACATTAGAGCCATATTACATTGTACTGTGCTTTCCTAAACTGTCCTCCTGCAGTGTTGGGGGGGGGGGCATGTCCGATTTAAAGGTTCTGTATTTCGCTTTTCTTAATTTTTCACAATCTATCCTATGCACATGTGTGATAATAATTTGAGTGATACACCATACAAAACTCAAAACTTTGAAATTATAGTATTTTTTTGCATAGTCAGCTCTATTGAAACGGCTTATTCTCTGATTCTCTGCCTGTGAGTCTGCTTCCCCCCAGCTCCCTTCTGAGTCATTGGTATTTCTTAAGCATTTTGTGGTCTTTTTTTCCTAATTTTACCATCACTTAGAATTACTATGTCCACCACCACAGCTTTCCCTATGCCCTTGGTCTTCCACCACAATGTCTGGTTGGTTCCCCATTACCATTTGGTCAGTCTGTATCTGGAAGTCCCACAGATCTTTGTAAGCTCATTTCCCATTGTGACCTCGGGGTTTCCAGCCCATACTGTGCACAGATATCCCTGTACATTATGAAAGCCACTTGTTAAAGGTTTGTTATTCACCCTGCAGTTATTTGTTGGATCTGCTCAGGTACCTCTTTGCACAACCGATACCCTGGATCTGGTCTGGTGTGGTACAGTATATCTGGGCCTCTATTGCTCTAAGGGCCTGCTCCTGTGCCACAGCAGCTGTTTCCTGAGCCATGATGAGTGCCCCTGTGCTGTCCTGTAGGCCAGTCCTTTCTAGCGATTGGTAGGACTTTAGATCAGCCACTTCTGCCTAGTTCCGGTGGTTCATGCCGTGTTGGAGCTTGTCCTCGGGCACCTTCTTATCTCGCCACTGTCTGAGACATTCACTGAGTATGGCCACACGATGTGTGGTGATAATTCTCTTGGGAGGGAAAGCTGTGCAGTCATCTCCATTTTTTCACTGTACTATTTTCGACTTTATTGCACGCGACTCAGACTAGATATGCGCGTCAAACTCACTCTTGCTCTACATTCACTGAGTATGTCATCCGTTTGGGCCTTCTCCTTGATGTAGTTATGGAGTCTCCTTGATGTAATTATGGAGTTTGGATGTTCTGTCCTGGGCAGTGGCTATTTACTATCAGCTATTTAAGAAGCATTGCAGCTACTTGTATTGTATATTTTGTGTGCTCCTTGTGTGCTCTTACTATTGTCCTGTATGTGCGCAGCAACATAAAAATGTAACCATTGCAAATCAAGGTATTCTTATCTCATCTTATTTGAATAAAGGCCATCCTTCAGAAACAGCTGAAACCACAGATATCCTGCCGAGGTCCCACTCACAAGAGGAAACAACATTAATTCATTAATTCATTGTGTTTCCATAGTGATGTCAGACCAAGATGGCCTGTAAAGATGCAACTAAAAACACACTATACACCAAAGGCGTAACAAAGAAATTAAACAACATGCAGATCAGCTTCAGTTTCCCCAGTTAAGGAATAACAATCTCTATCTTTTAAAACCTGCCAAGAACTCAATGTAGGGATCGCTTCAACACCCGGGGGTAGAAGTGGGAAACTATATTTTTTGTTTACTTTTTTGTTTTAAAAGGCAGAAAACAGCATTGAACATGGTGTGATAGAAAGGATTCATGATAGCCCAAAACGTTTTAATATTTTGATAGAAGAGGATAAAACAACTCCGGGGCTTTTGTGGCAGAAAAAACTCAAAGAAGATGTCACTTTTACACAATGTCAATATTAACGCACCATCTATTTCTGCCAATAAGCTTAGAAAAATTGCTTAAAACTGGGGTACGTAATTTTCAAACCACATTTAATGTTGGATTAATTCTACGCCTATGGTTTCTCTTCTATTATTACTTTTCACATGCTTTTTTGGCCTCTGTCACATCTTTAGATCAGCTGAAAAAGAGAGGACCACCCTCACTAAGCCAATCAGCTCTCAATCCAAAGAGTTGGATCTTGGTCTTGATCTGGCTCTCATCCAGGTCTGGTATGGTATGGTTTTGTTCTGGGTTGGGTCTTGGTCTGGATTTGGTGTAGATGTAGTCTTGGTCTGGGTCTAGTTTTCACATATACAGTATGTTTTTCCTCCCACCTGATGAAGACCATGGAGCGGCTCATCCTCACCCATCTCCGCTCCGTGGTCAGCCCCACCCTGGACCCGCTGCAGTTCGCCTACAGGCCCAACATCGGAGTAGAAGACGCCGTCATCTACTTCCTGCAGCGGACGCTCTCCCACCTGGAGCCCGCCGGGAGCGCTGTGAGGGTCATGTTTTTCGACTTCTCCAGCACTTTCAATACCATCAGGCCGGCACTGCTGCAGGGGAAGATGGAGGACGCGGGAGTGGACAGTAGCCTCACTGCATGGACCATCAACGACCTCTCAGACCGACCACAGTACGTGCGGCTGCGCAGCTGTGAGTCTGAGGTGGTAGTCTGCAGCACTGGGGCCCCTCAGGGCACTGTCCTCTCACCGTTTCTCTTCACCATCTACACTTCAGAGTTCAGACTTCACACACGACACACACAGCTGTCACCTGCAGAAGTTCTCCGACGACTCTGTCATCGTGGGCTGTGTGTCTGAGGGGAACGGACTGGAATATCGGTCGGTTATCAAGGACTTTGTCGACTGGTGTGAGCGCAACCACTTGTGCTTGAACACCAGTAAGACCAAGGAGATGATCATCGACTTCAGGAGAAAACCACTTTCCCACACGCTGTTGAACATCCAGGGGGAGGACATTGAGCTGGTGGACAGCTTCAAGTACCTGGGTGTTCACATTAACAATAAACTGGACTGGTCCCATAATACAAACGCCCTGCACAAGAAGGGCCAAAGTCGCCTCTTCATTCTGAGGAGGCTGAGGTCCTTCGGAGTGAGCAGGCCTCTGCTCAGGACTTTTTATGACTCTGTGGTAGCTTCTGCCATTTACTACGCTGCCGTGTGCTGGGCCCCGGGCAGCACAGAGCGGGACAGAAACAGACTGAACAAGCTGGTCAGGAGGGCCAGCTCCACTCTGGGCTGCTCCCTGGACTCTGTGGAGGAGGTGAGGGACAGGAGGGTGCTAGCCAAAGCCACCTCCATCATGAACAATCCCTCCCACCCACTGCACAGGACTGTAGAGGAGCTGAGGAGCTCCTTCAGTGGAAGACTGAGACACCCTCAGTGTAGGAAGGAGCGCTACCGCAGGGCCTTTATCCCCACTGCTGTCAGACTGTACAATAAGTCACTTTAAATGATCACTGTGTGAAAACCTGCACTACTATTGACACTGTTTCCAATTGACACTTGTCACTTTTGTTGTACATAATTATTGTCACTTTATTGTACATATATATCCTGCATGTAACATGTTTGCACATTTCCTCCTTTTGCACAATCTGATCCATGCTAAATGTGACATGTACATTTCTCCTATGTGAGATAAATAAAGCACATCTTATCTTATCTCTTTTTTTGGCCTCTGTCACAGCTTTACATCAGCTCTCAGCAAAAATAGTCAAATAGATAATCACAGGGCCTTTTCTTCAACAAAAGATGACATTTTAAATGAAATGAAGACAGCATGTGGTGGTCTGATTTGTTCACAACATTTTACTTTTACATGACCTTTTCTGTTGGGACAAGCATGTAATATTCATGTTAAGTAATAAGCCCTTAGAGATTAAACAACTTGTTTTTCGAGGCTATTTTCGATTCTTTTAAAACAAAATCCTACTCCTCCTACTTTTGTATTTCCAATGTTCAAACTGTTGTTGAATTGGTATCATTGTAAAGTCCTCTAAGACGACTGCTGTTATGATTTAGGACTGTACAAAAATACATTTAAAATTGTGTTGAATTTCTCCAATCAGATTACTAACTATGTACATTAGTTGGATTGTACAATATAAGAATGCATATCTATGGAATGTAATGTCCTTCTACAGAAGAGACACTGCAGGAGGAGGACGCGTGGAGTGGCAAATGTCGAGTTTATACATTTATTTTCTACTTAAACACCAAAGTAAACATGCAATTAATGACATTTGGAAATACTCTCAATAGACAGTAGTGACCGTGAGCTGTACTACTGATACTATACCCAGCAGTTCGTAAACAAAAAAGTATAATTTTCAGTCTGTAATCAGAAGTGATTGGGTCCTACCTGAAGCAGCAGAGTCTGTTGAAGCCTGTCTCTGCAGCAGCTGGGACTGACACCCACCGAGCGGCCGCTTCTCCACATCCCCTAAACGCCACACCTCCAGGCTGCGTCCAAACATGAGGAGTTGGGGCAGACACACAGAGCAAAAAGCTTAAATGTGCAAATATCACAGAGGGAAAGAACAACAGTGGCTGGAGCAACCAGATGAGGAATGAGCTAATAATTGAAGGTCATGGCAAAAATACAATCTGTCATAAATAATACATGTCGTTTTTTCAACAGAAAGAGACTTGCAAATACTTTCTGGAGTTTACTTACTAGAGTTTTGGGCTGAGAGCTGATTGCCTAATTGATTGTGGTCCACTCTTATTCACTTTTCTGATCTAAAGAGGCAGAGAAGAGAACTGCATATGAAACTATAGCGTTAGAAACAAAGCGTTTTGAGACTGAGGAACTAAAGTGGAATTTATCACATAGTTCTAGAGTACTGTCGGAAATGAATCACACAGAGACAGGATCATGGCGCACCACTGCTCTGGAAGTTTATTCTCAGGCTCCTTTCAGGTTTTTTCAGTCTTCTCAGACAGAGCAAAGTCAAGACATGGTTTTATATAGTCATTGTTACGTGTCACATCCAAACACACTCAGAGCATATCATAGTCATAACATGAATACTGAATCAGAGTCCTTGTAGAGTCTTGCGGTTGTCCACCTGCCTAGGTCATCATAGCTATCTAATCCTCATACTACAACAAAACATTTGTTGTGGTTTGAAAGTTACTATACCTGACATTGTTTTTTCTGCTCTCGTTCCCTGGAGTTTTTTATTATCAGGATCCTCTGGCACTGTGTCCCCCGTTCTGTCACACTGTTTTGAAAACTTGTTACATGGGTTTGTAGAGCAACATTCTCGCTTTAAATACAGTCTGAAAAACGTAACTACTTTGAACAATTTCTTGAAAAGTGTCCTGAAAAAAACATTACAGATGAATTCAGAAGGTTGTTTTGGAATTTCACCTTGGAATACGTGTCTTGTAAAAACTATTATGATCTAAAGTGGAAGATTCTGTGCATACTTGTCAGAAAGAGGCCTGTGAGCGAAGAATGAGTTACATTGATTTGATACACAGTAGTCTCTCGCTGCTTTTGCATGCTTTTTTCTTCTGTAAACAGTCTATGGTATACTCCAACGACGTCATATAACCACTTGTAAGACATGACAGTTATCTTTATTTAACCCTCCAAGGTCTAGGGTCATTTTGGGGAAGCTTCCTCGCCTGGTTTTCTTTGTGTATAATTGGTCATAAGAGAGTCATTTTTTGATGCAGAGTCAAGCAGTATACTTTGTTTTTTTCAGTACAACCTGGGTTTTAGAATATATATATTTTAGAGCTGTCATATCAATTATATAAAAAATTTGGAGTCATGAAGACAAAGAAAAAATCGAAACGGAAAATTAATTAAATACACAAAAATGTATTGAAAAACACAATGAAATGCTATAAACAACTGTTTACACTGCATAGAAATGTTTTTTAGGGCCATGGGGATAATGGGGAAAAAATTTGAATCCGTAACTATTATACTTTTTACAAAATTCCACTATAAAAGCCAAAAACGCTGTACTCCTGATGCCCTTCCTCAAGCAGTTTGTCTATGAGGCTGTGGTTGCTTCTGTATCACAGCGGTAAAATACGTAAAACAAAAGAAACAAAAAAATCTAATTTATATATATAAATACATTATATACACATAATATCATTTTACTGTATTTATTATTGTCTATTCTCAATAATGCGAACTCCTCTGGTTCTGGTTCTTCTGAGCGCTGCTGCCTATGCTGCAACAAGTAAACACAGAGGAGTGAGCCATCTCACTCTCTGACAATCTTTGTCTGAGTCCCCGTGTGTGTAAACAACTTAACATGCGGCTGTGCCTGGCTCACGGGGCGCCGCTTGAAGATCCGTTTGGGGGACTGAGTTTCATACACACGTAGTTTATCCCCCGTATGTAGCAGAGACAAACCGAAGGCAGTTTCGGAAAGGCTGGAACGTGTACTTCACGGAGATAAAAAAAGTAAGTCGCTAGCGTTTACCGTTCGCGAGTAAATTGATCATTTGTAAAACATGTGCGCCACCATTCTTTTAAGGGTTAAAGCATTTCTGGGCTCTTCTCTGAGCTTTCTCTACTCTCACTATCTGTGGCCTCTCGCCGCATGTATACTACCAACATTATATAACTGCTTGTATGACATGACAGTTACTTATTTCAAGTCATAAGAAATCTTTTGTGTCTTGTGTTTACCGCGGAGATTAGTTCAGCGGTCTTCCCGTAGCCCGTTGAACGAGTTCTACTTACTCATCGATCAAAATGCTCGAAAGTAGGCGTGGCTTAGACATTTTTCACAATAAAAGCCCACTGCCTCTGCGGGACCTCTAAAGTCCGAAATAAAGACTCCTTTCTCGTAGTGTTTCTGACGAAGGATTGCTATCACATATAATCAACGTAAAGTCAGATGTGTTGTTGCTGTTCCATATACTGTCTGTGAATCGCGAACTGTTTCCCATGACACTGACCTGAGCAGCTGCAAGGTGCGCAGTTTAACCTGGAGCTGCGGTGGGACTGTGGTGTTTCCATTCAATAAACACGCTCACAACAGCGATTTACAAACACATGACCAGCGCCTGCTCTCACACATTGTTCTCATAGACTACAGTCATAAGAAATGTTGATGTAGAAAAAGAAATCACATGTGGAATTAATGCTGTATGTGATCGCTATCACAGACCAGGAAAAGGACGTTCGGGTTGTATGAGTGAGCAATAATGTGACTAATAATGAGCATGCAACTGTGACAGGACGAACATGTGTGTGTGTAAAGCATGACAGCAGCAAGAGGGTGTCACTGAAAGACGACAGCAGACGGCCAAACACATTGTTGTATTTGTAGAGTGGGCTAGATCCACCTGCGTGTCCGCGTACTCGCACCCCGCTTCACCTGTCTCCAAAGCATTGTAACGCAATGTCACTGGCAATAGAATGGTACACCCTGTTCCTGTTGTAAACATTCTTGTTCACCTTTTGTGTGTATTCCTAAATGTACAAACATGTCAATGTGCACATAATTGGTAAAATGATCAGGCAATAACAGCCCAGAACATGACATCTACTCATTGAGTATACACGTGTCTATTAGTATATTATTCCTGAGTAGTCCCTTGTGTGATGTTTTGTTTATTTCATTGCCTGTGTGATTTGCCTGGTGTTTAATCTTTGTGTGTGTTTCATGTAAAGATTTGTGCCTTGTGTGAGATGGACTGTGCAGCAGTCATCTCAGAGGACCACACAGACACGTTTAAATCACCAACACAGATTGGAGAATCAACAGCGAAGACCCAGGAAATATTGAACCCATGTGTATTGGTTCATAGAGAAAGACCAATGCTCATGAATGATGATGAATATGCATACAAATTAATATTGATTGCTGGACATTTCGCTGACAGTAGCAGATGGCCAAAATGATGTATATTTGGGGTGGACGTGGTACACCTGCAAACCTTGCAGCTGCTCATGTCAGTGTTGTGCTGTGCTCATTACAAATGTTTATGTTGGTCCAGTCATACTGCACACAAGGGAACAATTGTGACATGGAATTGTGACCGAGCAACGCTAAAACACATGTCCGCAGCGCTGTGACAGAGAAATGCTGCAGAGACGTCTCTGAAAGAGGATCTGGAGATGCATCAGCAGGTTAATCTGTCGCTGCACCACGTACCAAACCGCGTCCGAGCGTACGATCTATCTCGAGGTCGGCGTTACGTCACGAATCATGTGACCTGCGTAGCAACCAACCGCCGCCATGTTTGAAGGGTAAAACAAACCGAAGGCGAATCCAAAAGGTATCTATTTACATATGTTTTGCCGTGGATTATGTCAGTTATGGATACTAACGGACAACTTTGAATTATTGATGAATGATATCTGTGTATGCGAATGTATGTTGGTGGTGTAAACATTCAGGGCTTGCTTAGCTGGAGGCAGGAATCTAAATTCCTATCTATTTCCATTGTAGCTGTTGTCATAAAAAAAATGTCTAACTGTTGTTGGAAATATCAGATAAACCTTATTTTATTAACGCAAATGTAATTCCTCTTGTTCTTGCACCTTAAGCCACAACAGGACCACCTTTTTCAGTTGTAGTTTTACACTTATAATCGCCAGTTTTAGTTTAATCTTATTTCTCTTGCCTGCAGCTGATGTCACTGATGATGTATATACCACATGTATGGAGTGAATGTAAACACTCATGTAAAGCGCTTTGTGACTAGCTACATGTCTGTGAAAGGCACTATATGAATACAGATCTTCTTCTATTGCAGCATGTCATATCAGTATATTGACAGTCTCCTAGCGCCTGCATTGACCAGGTACCACAGAAAGCTGTCGCTTGTAGGTTTACAATCTTGTCCCTATCGGCATCCAGCAGAGTCCTGGGAAAACAACCCAAAGGCATGGCCCAGGCTCGAGTATCCAGACATATACAATTACATCATCAAGTCCCCTGGTATGAACACCATGTGTACATACCATGTGTCCTACACTTGTAGTAATATTTAAATACCCATCAAGCATCGATAACATTAACTATGTTATGACATTCAAAAGCATTCTGTTACAATGTGGCTGTAATGAGCTCAGTCTGTCAGTGGCACAGCTTGTACAGTGTAAGTGAGGGACACAGTTTTTTTCAAAAGCCAAAAAAGGCTAACTGCAGAAATTCCACTTATTCCCCACACAACTAGTGCATTTCATTGTTGCTTATCGGTGTGGAGCTGCCGACCATTATGCATAGCGATGTCATAACATAGCAACAGAAAACAGTGGCATGGCATTGGTATTATTTTGTTATTCTTTGATTTGCCCCTCAATGTGTCCATTCATTTGAGATTACATTTCTATTTAAATTTTAAAGTAAAATGGCATACCCTCTTCACACTTTTTATGACTGGTTATTTTTTGCAATAACCAGTCATCAGATTACATTTTATTGAATGTAGTGTCTAACGACAACAGCAAGACTTTAACATTTCTAATGAGAAATAGTTTATTAGACATTGTATAAGTAGAAATGAAAGATATGGAATCTTTTAGTTCTCCTCCAAGGTTTCTCACTTTTTCCCACTGGGTTTTTTAAGAGTTTTTCCTTGTCGATGCAGGAGGGTCTTGTTGGACAGTTAGTGTCCAACAGAAAGGATTGGTGATGATCAGGACACTTTAGCATTCTACAACATGTATGGACATTTTCTTCTGTGTGTGCTTTATATTCTTCATGTGTTTTAACTGTTGATTCTCTGACCTGTGTTGGTGATTTCAATGGTTTTGTTAAGTCCTCTGAGATGACTTCTGTTGTGACCTAGGGCTATACAAGAATAAATTGTATTGTATTGTATTGTGTATTGTATTGTGTAAATACTAAAAGACGTGAAGATTGACATGAAAACATTTGTATCATTTACTTGCAATTTGTCAGTGTTTTTGCTCTGGTCAATTGTCACTCTCCTAGATGTGATATGTTAATGTATAAAAATAAAATTATTTCCCTTTCTTCATTTTCTTTTGTTTCAGGTGTATTTAGTATTATGATGGTGGAGACCGAATCATCGCTGATTTTGTCAATGCCTAATTCCGTCTGCTGCAGGTCTTGCATTTCCATGCAGGGTGTTGACACTTCTTGTTGCAACTCTTCTGGGACACTTGTCTCCTCAAATTCCAGTTGCTTCTTCACCTTCCTTTCCTTTCGTGATACTAGAGTAGTGGATGGTGCTGAAAAAAATAGATAAAAGGTATATATTTTGCAAATGATCACAGAAATTTTAAGTCATGGCCTCATATTTATAATAATAATAATAATGCATCAGTTTTATGTAGTGCTTTTCTGGACACTCAAAGACGCTTAACATTGCACTATTCATTCACTCCATACTTGGTGGTGGTAAGCAACTATTATAGCCACAGCTGCCCTGGGGTAGACTGACTGAAGCGAGGCGACCAGTTTGCGCCATCGGCCCCTCCGACCACCACCAACCACTTACTCACTCGGCTTCCTGGTGTTACTAAACGGCAGTATATTTAGTATTGAGTTGGATTGGGACGATAAGTCATAATAGTCGACTATGACTAGAAAGCAGCGACCAGTAGACTAGTTTTGTACTATAAATACCATCTTACCAAGAATTTCCAGGCTAGGCATTATGTACAAAAATCTGCATGACTAGTTACTTTGTAGATGCAATGACTTTTTCATACAGGAGGTAATTTTGTTTTCAAGGAAAATACATTTGTTAGCAAAATCTGTATTTTTACACAGATGACCATTTTTGTAGCAGTTACACCTCCCAAGTACTACTTTTTCAAATTTGTCATTAGAAATCAACATGTATTTTTTATTTATGTATTTCATATGGGGGACAACATTCTATTTCACAAGGTGCTTGTATCAATTGTTGTACACAACCTCATTGCAATATGGAATCTTTTAATTCTTAACTGTGCATTGGAAATGCAGCTCATTATCTGCAGGTACGGTTTTACTGCAGTGTAAAATAAGAGCAAGAAACACAATTTGCTACTATATATGTCTGCATAAACAAAATCGACTGCAATTTTTTAGTTTTAAATTTCAAGTGTTGTGTCAAACAAATTCAGATAATTTTTGGTCATTGATCTAGGAGCAAACTAGATGCATGTTGATCACACTACAGTTTGATGGGTTTTTTTTAGGGTACTGTGGGTAGCAAACTTACCTTTTCTTTTCTGTGCTCTCTTGAAGCGATCAAGTGTGGTACTCTTAGTCAATTCCTTCAGCACTGCTTGCGGGAAAATGGACGGAGTGTAATCTGGGTATGCGGGGTTGTTGTTCTTCTTTCCTGTTCAAGGAGCAAAGTGACAAAATCTAAAGATTCCCACTGAGTAGCTCCAAGCCAGCTGGAGCCATTTCTCTCTCCTTTCTGGCTCAGTTGCCTCGCTAGGGATCATGTAAAAGGATAGGTCACTCCTTTTTACGCTGTTGTTGGTACAACAAACAATACAACAGTTTTTCGGCATGTTTTGTAACGCTCGTTTGTCTTTCGCTTTGTGTTGCTTAATGGCGGGCGCTGGTTTGTTTTACCCTTCGCCGCGTTGCTATGCGCGCGCAGTGCATTATGGGAGTCCAAGTTCCCGGATGTCCGACCTCGAGAATGTGTGTGTGTCTGTGGCTACACGACACAGGTAACAGGAACAGGGTGTACCATTCTATTGCCAGTGACATTGCGTTACAATGCTTTGGAGACAGGTGAAGCGGGGTGCGAGTACGCGGACACGCAGGTGGATCTAGCCCACTCTACAAATACAACAATGTGTTTGGCCGTCTGCTGTCGTCTTTCAGTGACACCCTCTTGCTGCTGTCATGCTTTACACACACACATGTTCGTCCTGTCACAGTTGCATGCTCATTATTAGTCACATTATTGCTCACTCATACAACCCGAACGTCCTTTTCCTGGTCTGTGATAGCGATCACATACAGCATTAATTCCACATGTGATTTCTTTTTCTACATCAACATTTCTTATGACTGTAGTATATGAGAACAATGTGTGAGAGCAGGCGCTGGTCATGTGTTTGTAAATCGCTGTTGTGAGCGTGTTTATTGAATGGAAACACCACAGTCCCACCGCAGCTCCAGGTTAAACTGCGCACCTTGCAGCTGCTCAGGTCAGTGTCATGGGAAACAGTTCGCGATTCACAGACAGTATTTGGAACAGCAACAACACATCTGACTTTACGTTGATTATATGTGATAGCAATCCTTCGTCAGAAACACTACGAGAAAGGAGTCTTTATTTCGGACTTTAGAGGTCCCGCAGAGGCAGTGGGCTTTTATTGTGAAAAATGTCTAAGCCACGCCTACTTTCGAGCATTTTGATCGATGAGTAAGTAGAACTCGTTCACCGTCCTGCCCCTCAGCGCGGTGTCCTCAGCAGCTGCATTTTTACAAAGGATCCACGGAATATGACAGCTGCAGCAGCACTCAGACCTACAACCAACAGGATGGATATTTCTGCGATTGTACTTCAGCAGCCATCCGTTTAGGTGGTCTGAAAAGTATATTAAGTGTATGGTGAGGGCAGCTGCTAGGATTCCTCTTATTTTGGGTTATTTGTTAGAACCTAACCTCTGAGATAAACCAGGGACCACTGTGTATTATTTTTTTACCATAGTTGATAGACACTAGGCAGAGAGAAATATATTAAATCATGGTTGATATGTGCAAACTGTGACTGTTTTTGTTTCATGTGGATTGTTCCTGGAATTACAGAGAAATTAGCCCTATCCTAAACTAAGAATCTGACTTGACAGTTCCCATTGTTACCAGAGAGCGATGTTTCAACTGCTCTCCACCACAATGTGAAACTAGAGGCTCTTTGGAACGTGCTGATCTTCTTTGTGTCATGGTGTGGATTTTTATTTCTGTATTTGGTTTTATTTTGACATTAGTTATCTGGTTTCATTTAAGTTTTACTTCATGTCCTGTTCCCCTCTTGATTGTCTGCCCCGCCCTGATGTGTTTCACCTGTGTCTGTGTCTATGTACCCTGTGCTTCTCTCCCCTTGTTGCTGCTGCATTGTCTTGTCTAGTTTTGTCCTGGTCACTTTGGATTTTTGGAGTTGTTCTTTGCCTTGGACTTTGTTTTATTAAAAGCTTTATTTTGGCATTCCTGCGTTTTGAGTCTTCCTCATTTTCACCGCGTGACACTTTGAACATTATGGCGAAGAACCAAATAAGAAATGTGAAAATAACACATTTTAACTAGAAACCGTTGCAATGGCTGAAGCCATTGCGATTGACTGCGGAACAGATCTAATGTGGAATTTAGCTGAAAAATCCTTGAAATCCTTGAAACTGTTAAAATACTTTAAACATCTTTGAAACTCCTGAAGTATTTGAAGCTCCTGATATCCTTTAAACTGTTATCCTTTATACTGGTTTACATGTAAAAAACCCTATTAAGTTGCATTATACTGGTTTACATGGAAAAATCCCCATTAAGTTGCATTATACTGGTTTACATGTACAAAACCCTATTAAGTTGCATTATACTGGTTTACATGGAAAAATCCCTATTAAGTTGCATTATACTGGTTTACATGTAAAAATCCCTATTAAGTTGCATTATACTGGTTTACATGTAAAAACCCCTATTAAGTTCCATTATACTGGTTTACATGTAAAAACCCCTATTAAGTTCCATTATACTGGTTTACATGTAAAAAACCCTATTAAGTTCCATTATACTGGTTTACATGTAAAAAACCCCTATTAAGTTGCATTATACTGGTTTACATGTAAAAACCCCTATTAAGTTGCATTATACTGGTTTACATGGAAAAATCCCCATTAAGTTGCATTATACTGGTTTACATGAAAAAAACCCTATTAAGTGGCATTATACTGGTTTACATGAAAAAAACCCTATTAAGTTGCATTATACTGGTTTACATGGAAAAATCCCTATTAAGTTGCATTATACTGGTTTACATGGAAAAATCCCTATTAAGTTGCATTATACTGGTTTACATGGAAAAATCCCTATTAGGTTGCATGATTACACTGAAGTCCTTGAAACTGCTGAAGTCCTTGAAACTGCTGAAGTCCTTGAAACTGCTGAAGTCCTTGAAACTGTTGAAGTCCTTGAAACTCTTGAAATCTTGAAACTGCTGAAATCCTTGAAACTGTTGAATCCTTGAAACTGTTGAATCATTGAAACTGTAGAAATGTCTGAAAGAGCTGAAGTCCTATTAAAATGCATGGGCCTATTAAAATGCATTGCAGAATTCTCAATGCAGATTTTTGTCCGATTGCGGAAAAACCGGAAATCGCTGAAGTCCCAAAAGTAATAGCAATAATCTCCCAAACATGTGGAACGTTTTGATGTATAACTTGTGGAAATTGTTGAAAATGTGAAAGCTGTGAAACGTGTCAAAAAAAATGACGGAATAAAGAAATACAAAACCAATGGTTGACTGCGGAAGGTTCCGCAGTCAATCAATTAAAAAGTACAGAACACTTTATTAAAACAAAACAATGAGGCACAATTTCAAGTATCTTTTTTTTTTCAAGTGTGTTTCAAAAACATGAATTGTGCAATAACTTTATAAAAAATACATTAATAAATACTGCTCTTATCTACGTTAAGGCGGAACATCTTACAATATGGCAGTCTACAGAAGCGCACACAGAGACAGCCCACATGCCCACAAGTGCGCACAGAAATGCGCGCGCATTTAACAACCACAGACACACACACACCAACACACTCGTTAAGATTTCTATTAAAGATAAAAATGAACCCAACACGTTAATACACTGCCTTTCATGGCACTAATCTCATAGTTTGAATTTGAAAATTAGACCAATATTATTAATAATAAATGCTTCCTAATTGGTGAAAAAAATCATGTATATTTACAACAGATAAACAAAAATGATCTCACCAAATAAAGTCCTGTGACACGGCTCCCTTAACACTGACTTTTCAGTCCATTTCAGTTAAATGAAAGTGTTCTGCTCTGTGATCTGTAGAGTTTATTTATGCTTCATATTATGTTTCCAGCTGTTCTGATTTGGTTTCAGACGTGAGGCCTTTTCAGTGCCTTTTAAGCGTCCTCCATAATGGACCGCAGGGTGTCCAGACCCTCCACAGACACCGTGAGGACCCCGATCACCGCGCTCTGGTCCTCTGCATCCAGCACTGAAACACAACATCACACGGCCTTCTTTAGATCAGGGGTGTCTAAACATCACCGGACTAGGGGCCGACAACAAGGATTGTAAGTGTTTCTACTGGATTTGGGATGTTCTGGGCTTTAAAATGGGCTTGAATGTTATGTTCATATCAATTCATACCACAGCTACATATATATGGACTTGTGTGCGACTATCAAAAAAGGTCAGTAAATACAAATAGAGCAGCTGTATTTCAGAGCTTTACAACCAGGTACAGTATAATATGACTGTATCGGTGGAGCCAACCTCCTCTGAGCTGGTACCAGGAGAAACAGTGAGGGGCTGGTACCACCTGCAGTAGGACCGGAGAGGGGCTGGTGCCATGAGGATTGGGTGGCGTGTTAAAGAACAAATGATATGCACTTGTTTAGACCAATAAAAAATGATGAGACCTTATACTTTGTAAGTTAATGTTTTAGAACGTGAAATAATATCAACAGTAGAAAATAAAAAAAAACATTTGTTTCTGTCAGTAAATCCCATGGCTGCCACCAGAGGGAAGAGGAGAATTTGTTGCAATGACATTATACTACTACAGGACTGAGACAGGAGCTTTCAGACAGTAGCGGCAGAGTTACATGTTTGTGCCATTCATATTAGCGTGAAAAAAACTTAAATCTGGCTCCTTTAAGGCATGATGACAGCTCCAGTAATTTCTCTTGGTATCGCTCGATCAATCTGGAGAAGAAAGTGCCATATACTCAAACTCCAGCTGAGAGAGTTCAATTTGATTCAGAACATATCTACATACAGTGATAATGAAATGCCAAAGTAGAGGTTTATGTTAAAGGGCCAAGAATAACACTGATAAAGCCTGATATGTCTCTAGTCTGTACAGACAGACGTGTAGAGCATTCATGAGTGGAATCAGACCGTTCAGAGGCGCTTCATGGAGGTCGCGTTTCTTCTGGAGGATTTCTGGGATTTTTAAAAAGGCCACGCCCACGTCTTCGCACTCGCGCTCCTGCTGCTCCTCCTCCAGCGGCTCGCTCACCACCGTGAAGCGGATCCTGCAGAGGAAATAGCATCTTTGTGACTTAATGTGCTTAATGTGTTTTGTCTTTAAAAATCTCTCACAATTCAAGAATTTTGTTAAGTTTGTTAATCAAATGGCAATAAATTGATTCTGATTCTGAAGTCCTTCCAGGCCACTGTTGTGCTATAAGTTGCTGTCTGGTCGTAAACAAAGGTACAAGAACACATTTTTAACTTTTTGAAATACTTTAACTGCACTCATATTAACAGTACAATGTTTTTACTGGGTGCCTTTGTTTTCATCCACGTTCCTTCAACTACTCCCATCTTCAAAACAAACTTTGATTACTTAATAAATTCCTCAATCACTTCTGTGCTGTTTTTGTAACTCCTCTGTGGCTGTCAGTAAAATAACAGTGACATACTATACTTTATGGGCAGTGGGATTGGCTTCCTTCCTGTATATGTTATCAATGTTTATTCAGAAAAAGATTTTATGAACCACACTGGAGATTAGGTAAGGCTTTTAATGGCCATCTAAACTGTGTTAACCTCAACTCTCTTTACATTCTTGTCTTGATATTTCCTAACCTGGCACCTGAGGGAATTATCTTGTAAATCACAAAACAAAATGCACATGACAATTTACTCTCCCAGTACTAGTTTACATGCATTACATGAATTAACATGTTGTATGGAGAGACACCATGCACTGTGTGTCTTCAGCTCCTCACATTTCCATCTCAGGTCTCTTTCCCTGGAGGACACTTCTGAGCAGACGCCTCCTCTCGCTATGGTTCTCTGGGTCAACTGGAATCACTGGAAATCAAGAGAGAGAAAAGAAAATTACATTTAATTAAGACCTTATCCACTCACCTGTGGATAAGGTCCACTGTGGAGGCCGCCAACAACCTGGAGACACACAGTAAACAGTTTTAGCAAAGCTCTGCTTCTGAGGTTAAGGAGGGTTAGCCAGAAGCTCTTTGATCCTGATGATAACACTGTCTCACTGCCATGGCTTCTCTGAACTTCACCAATCCTGAGTGTTAATCTTGGCAACAGCTCTGCCAGTTCTGCCCAGTAGCCTCATATCAACTACTTTGTTTTCTAAATTAACAAAATTTCAAAACAGAGGAGGAGGGGAATTTCATGTGGGAGTGTGTTGTTCTTTGTAATAAAAAAAAAAAACCCACTGCTGGAGAACAAGGCCAGAGATGTTTCAGGGCTGGGGATTGGACACTGCTCAGCCATATCTTCTCTTTGCAGTTAAGCAAGTAAAAACTTACAAACTTGTCTTTGTCCAGTGTAAACTGATTAAGAAACAGCGTTCACAGTGACACAAACGTTAGTGAGCTAGTCAATAGGAACCATAAAGGGTGGTTCCTATTGGAACCCTTTATGGGCAAAATTTTGTCCATGAGCACTTACCTAATGAGCATCACTGAGCTTTGGGGTAAGCATTGTTCAACCTCTACCTTTGCTGTAGTTGAAGCTGACACTGTGTCCCTGTGGGGGTTTGGGCAGGGACACAGGGGTCTCCACCGTGGGCACATCCAGCAAACTGTACTCCACATAGAGCCGCACCACTGATGGGTCCTGTGACACTCTGGAGTCCGGCCACAGAGACAAAGACACCACCTCCACCCGCAGACGATCAGCCACCTGACCACAAACACCAACAACGTCTGCTGATCAAGTCAAACGTAAGTCACCTTTATATACTGGCCTTTCATAGACCAGAGCCACATAATGCACTTCACTCACTCCACAGTGATGGGAGCGGGGTCGCCATACAGGAGGCACATGCCAGACCTATTGTACATGTTTTAATGGTAGTTCGAATGCCGCCCAGTTTCAGATGAAACCAATCTGCAATCCAACAATCTGTCGTTCAGGACGCTGCCAAAGCTCATAGAAATCTTTGTTCTGAGCTGTTATTAATAAAGATTCAGAAGAGTAGACTGCTCTGCTTTTAAAAAATAAATATCATGCATTTTTTCAGCATTCAATATAATGGGGCTATTTATTGTTTAATGTTTAAGAATGAAATAATATCTTCAGAAGAAAGTATATGGTGAAACAAGTATGAAAGATAAAAATGCTTTCCGTCTGTAACTGCCTGTGCAGCCACGAGAGGGAGAAGCTGAGTTTGTGTTCAAACTTCAAAATCTTTCATCAGCAAACTGAAACTTAATTGTTGACAACATAATTACGTCTGAGAAATGACTTAAATACATTTTGTTTTAAAAGACAGAAAACTGCTTTGAGTGAGAGTAGTTGTACAATGACACCATGACTGTTACAGGATTGGGACTGTGCTTTTAGTCAGAAGGGGCGGAGCTACATGTTTGTGCAAGATGTTCCTGATATTAGCATGGATGGAACTTGTCTGTGATTGATGAAAAATATTTAAAAAAAAGAAGTACATTTTGTGTCTTCTATAAAACATGTGTTGAAAACAGTGTACATCTGTGACATGTTATTACCATATGAACCAACCTCTTAGGAGCACAGGGACTGGCCTCCAGCTGGGACTCTGGGGAGCACAGGGACTGGCAGTGTTTCTGATTTATGCAGCTAAAATCTGAAAATGTGAGTCAGGCTTCTACTCTGACAATGTTCAAATCCAGGTTAAAACAGTTCTGTATAGCTGTGCATACCATTAAAGGATTGCATCTTCACTATCACTATCTTTACTGTACTGTGATTATTGATGATTTTGTGGTTAAGCACTTTGAGTTGCCTTGTGTATGAACTGTGCTATACAAATAAACTTTCCTTGCATATGTTTAAAATACGTAATCTTTCTTAAAGGTTATATCTTGATTGATTATGTCTTTGTATGTTTTTGTATAACATGATCATTGCTCAACATCTTTGAAAGCAGATTGTCTGCAGTTTTGATTAGTCTGTCTGGAGAAAATGTACAAATACAAGCATTATTTTTCAGCGTGCGCTTCAATAATTCATTATGTAACAAACAAATAATAAAAATCAGCCTCTTCCCATTTCCCAGAGCTTTTGTTATGGCCACAGTATTGATTACCATCATGTTTGCTTCATATTTAACACAGTCTGTGCTTGTTTAGATCGATCCGGTTCATTGTTCTTTTTAGAGAATTAGAAAAACCCGCAACATGGGCAAGAAGACTCGGGAACAACAGCACAGCTAAAATCGAACAAAAACAGAACACAAATTGCTTCACGATCGGCAGCTGGATTCCCTCAAGGATCTGGCCCCAAATCAGCAGAGTAATAAAATGTGTAATGAATTCCCACTTTTCTGAAGCCAAACACATCCCCAGCCCCTTACGGCGTGTTGCAGACAGGAAGTGTTAAAAATGTAAAAAGTGTGTGATGTAGTTGCTAATGTTGCTTCCTACACTGGCACTATTTTCATTTTTTTATATCTAAACTGAGACAGCCTGCCGAATGCTCTTTAAAGCAGACATATTACGCAAAATCCATATTCCAACACCGTTCCTCATCAGTGTTCAGAGCCATCCACGCCAATATCAGAAACTTCTGGCACAAACATGTAACTCGTCCCTTCTATCTCAAGCTTTTCTCTCAGTTATAGTAGTATGATGTATTTGTAACACTATGACATCACACTCAGCTGTTATCTGCATTTTAAAACAAGGGTTTCTCATAAATTAGTTTAGTCCTGTGCGTGTGTAGAATACAAGTTACTATTACTTCCAATGTTGGGTGTGATGTATAACAAAACATATTACTTTTTGCTGTAACGCAGTAATGTAAGGCATTACAAATCAAAAGCTGGGTAATATTTACTTGGTAAAAAGGTCAGTAATGTGAGTTACAGCATTTTAACTTTCCCTCAGCGCATGGTGTTTGCGAAAGAGCAGAGACATGCAGCTTATGTGACACATGAGAGTCTAAGGTCTGGTTTAATATTTAATGTGTCCAAAAAGAGCTAATATTAACAGAGATATGAGCCTCTCCAGAGTCCTGTTTGAGACAGAGGCGACTCTTGTTAACGAGCGGAAATTATGTGCAAGATGAGCGGCGACGCAACAAAACAGCGGCAAGAATGATGCACTTGCATCACGTTCAGTAACTAAATTGGATAGAACTCTCGCTTCTCAGCAAGAAGGTCCTGGGTTCGAATCCTGGTCGGAACAGGGCCTTTCTGAGTGGAGTTTGCATGTTCTCCCCATGCCTGCGTAGGTTTCCTCTGGGTGCTCCGGTTTCCCCAACCTCTAAAAATATGCACAATAGGTATAAATGTTCAGAGTGAGTGAATGAATGGTGTTGGTTGGAGGCTTTGATGCGTCAGTGTGTTCAGCAACTCGCTTCGGTCATCACCGTGTGTGGAATGATTGAAGCAATATCTGAACTCTGAATATTGGAAAGCGCTTTGGGTCCCTTTGGTCTGTAAAATGCACTATATAAACAAACATTACTTACTACTTATTTACTAAATCAGTGAGCTGCTGTGAACCAGTTGTGAACCAGGACTGAGCTAGGACTGAACCTGAACCAGGATTAACCAGTTTACTCAAAGTTTAAGTAATAAGTAATAATGTATTACGTTTTTGAAGTAACTTTCCTAACACTGACTATTACCAGATGTAAATAACAATGACCTACAGACAAAGCATGTCCTTCAAGAGGCTATTCAACGCAGCTTGCAATTATAATAATCTATGCTTTCTCCATTGCAGACTTGTTCTATTTTCCATTATAATCTTATTATATCCATTAACCCATAATGAATGAGCAGATTTTCGGAAAATGTTTCATTAGGAAATTTCATGTACCTGCAGTGTTTCAGTTTATCACATCCTCAACTATTAAAGTGCCTCTGAACACTGGTACCAGTGCAGGGAACTCAAGCGTCCATGTTTGGAGTCCATTAAAAAAATTATAAAAAACGAAGGGTAAGATCGATAGTGTTTTCACCTTCCTCCCGGTGGGCTGCGCTTGTACAATGCAGTCGTCGCTGTCGGTCGATTGGCTCTGATCCTCTTTTGGGACGTTCTGCACATCTGCAAAGACCCACAACAAATTTCAGACCAATAAACGGGATGTTTGGCTTTGTCTGAATCAGTGAAAAAACAATAGAGAGAAGCAGGAGAGTCCCTGGAGAAGAAACACAATGTAAACAAACTAGTGTCAAATTTTAGGAAAGAACCACTCTCTCCTCTTTTTGATCAAAACTCTCTGACACATACTACCAGAATGATTGACAATTGGGAGGACCAATAATAATAATTCAAAATCAGATTTTGAATATGACCCATTTAAGAGGAACATTTATATATTTAAATAATGAACGGAGGAAAGAGAAAGTGTCCAGGTGAAAACTGGGGATCTATCCGCGTAAATGTGTCTTGAGTATATAAAAACATGCATGAATCAACCCCACAAAGCTCACATTTCTACAGTAATATTTACCTTGGCATTGGGACACTTCTGTAAATAAAACATGAGCGTCACAGAGGGAAGGTTAATATATGTTAATATATGTTGAGCACTTATGGCTCAACATAACATTAACTATTAATGTGTCTGCACAAGGACCGGACTAAACCAGTTACCAGTAAATAAACATGACTTAAGATAAGTTAGACTTTATCTCACACAGGAGATTTGCATGTCACGAGGCTTGACTATTGTAACGTAGCGCTGGGCGATATGGCAAAAAAGTTAAATCTAAATTTTATCTCCTGCTTTGGACAATTTTGATTTTAAATCAATTTTTCATGAAAGTCACTGAAGACCTTTGCCCTTAAAAATATGTTTTATTTCCGCTCAATATTCAAGTTTCAAAACTATTTTTAAATTGTTTCCCCCAATATGTATTGTAAAAGTCTTGTACAGACTGTGCTGATATTGCAAGTTTACAGTGCAAAAGTATTCACCCCCATTGCATTTTGTGTGTTTTGTTGCCTCACAACCTGGAATGAACATGGATTGTTTGAGGATTTGCATCAGTTAATTTACAGAACATGCCCACAACTTTGTAGATGTTGTCTTTTTTTAATGTGAAGCAAACAACAAATAGGACAAAATAACAGAAAAGGTCATGTGAATAACTACACACAAAAACTTAGGGCACACTCAAAAAACACATCCTAGATGTCAATCAATTCGATTTTTTGGATGAAAATCTTTATTCATAGTGTGTTGAGAACAAAATAACATAAGAATGATAAATGGAAATCAAATTCTCAGCCCCTGGAGGTCTGGATCCAAAATTGTAATCAAAATCAAACTGACAAATGAGGTAACTGGTGGATCTAAATTCTATAGAAATTCCTCAAAACGAGTCTTTATCATCCTCAAGCCTAGTTTATACTCGCGCGGCGCGGAGCTTACGGAGGTGACGTGACGTCACTTGCGCAACGTGTTGGTCACCGCAAGGCCCTTACGTCGCCTGCCGCGCAGCATCGAAATTTTCTAACTACGTAAGGGTCGCCGCAAGGAATCTCCGCTGTGATTGGTCCGTGTGTGTGTATTGGAAGGAACAGTGTTGCCAACTTAGAGACTTTGGCTGAGTTTACACGGAGACAATGTGGCAGTAAAACGGTATAGTTGGATGTCGGTTTCTACCAAGCGTTCATACAAAGACAGTGTTCCAGGGGGGTGAAAACGTAAGAGTTCAGATCCAGCCTGCAGAGTGGGACAACTCAGATACGCTGCACAGCGGGGAGCTTCTTCACACCCGCGAGAGGGAAAAAGGTGTGAAATCCCCCTCTGCTCTGACCCCCGCCTCCGCACTGCTCCCCGCACGTAAATTTGGACATGCGCAGTAGCGGAGAACAAACATCAACAAAAATGGCGCCGCGCGCACTAACTAGCTTCGTGGGCTTCGAGCACAGCACAGAGGATAACTCTACTCCTTCGTTCGTCCAAACGAGACCACGCAAAGCTCTAGGTTCAGTTTCCATTTTCACAGCTGCTGTTTAAAGGCAGAATTATGTTGGTGCGTTCTGAGGGTCTGGCACAGGAAGTGAGTATACTGCCGAGAGGGGGGCTGGGCACGGGGCTGGGGGTCGTGTGAGTGTTGTAAAGTTTCTCTGCCCACTACTGGCCGGGCGCTAGAACTACATCGTTTTTCAACCTCATGTGAACGCTGAGAAAATTGCATTAGGAGCCAGGTCGTTTCTGTTAATAGCCTGGAAACGTCTGCGCAGCGTCTCAGTATAAACAGGGCCTTTGTCGCTAGATTTAGCGACTTTTCAAACCCTATAGCGACTTTTTTTCAAAAAAGCGACTAGCGACAGATCTAGACAAAGCATTAAAATCATTAAATGTTGTTAATGTTGAAATTATTTTTGTACATTTGTAGTTTTAAACATATTTAGGGTGTTTTTTACTCACTTTTGTCTCTCCCACGACGTTAAGCCTAGTGTATACTTGCGCGGCGTGGCTTACGTTAGCGGTTGCGGTGGACCTACGTAAGCACAATTGATGTTATACTGGCGCGTTCCCCTTACGGAGTTTTGAGGAGAATGTTGTAATCCCACAACAAACCACATGAGGGCGATCACACAGGAGCGGTCCCATTTACGCTGCTACTTTGTCCTCTTCAGAACAACAATAGCAAACAAAGCTGTTTGAGTTCATTACATGTGTTTCTACTGCAGGTTTATGTGATAGTTTTATGGATTCATTATTTATAAGTCATTTCAACTGTGATTCTGTGAATAAAGACACAGTTCTTGTTGGAAACATAGTTATTATTAAATAGTTTTCAGCACAAACAGCAAAACAATAATAGTGGTAAATATCTGAGAAAAACAAACGATTTACGAGTGCAGGAGGAAAGCAACAAACGCAGCTACGATTCAAACAAAGACAGGAACAGTGCAAAACAAACGACTACACAGTTTATAAGTTATATATATGTTAGATAGTCCACAGTCTCCTGTATATCAGGCTCTGAGCCCAAACTGCTTTTCCTTCGAAGCACAAAGCTCTCTGCACCATAGTGCCTCGTCCATGTCCCTGCTGCAGCCGCTCCATGCTTCCTTCCAATACACACACACGGACCAATCACAGCGGAGATTCCTTGCGGCGACCCTTACGTAGTTAGAAAATTTCGATGCTGCGCGACAGGCAACGTAAGGGCCTTGCGGTGACCAACGCGTTGTGCAAGTGACGTCACGTCACCTCCGTAAGCTCCGCGCGCGAGTATACCCTAGGCTTTATTCCTCTCTCCTACAGCGTCCGTTACAGTTATTGGCAAATTGCCAATTATGCAAATTATGCGATGACGTCATTTAGCGACTTCTAGCGACTTTTGGGACAGCCAATAGCTACTTTCCTTACTGAGGAGTTGGCAACACTGGGAAGGAAGCATGAAGCGGCTGCAGCAGGGACATGGACGAGAAACTATGGAGCAGAGAGCTTTGTGCTTCGAAGGAAAAGCAGTTTGGGCTCAGAGCCTGATATACAGGAGACTGTGGACTATCTAACATATATATATAACTTATAAACTGTGCAGTCGTTTGTTTTGCACTGTTCCTGTCTTTGTTTGAATCGTAGCTGTGTTTGTTGCTTTCCTCCTCCACTCGTAAATCGTTCATGTTTGTCTCAAGTATTTACCACTATTATTGTTTTGCTGTTTGTGCTGAAAACTATTTAATAACTATGTTTCCAACAAGAACTGTGTCTTTATAACCTTGCCTGCAAGCTGAATTCTCGCGGTATTTGTGAGTTCACAAACACTCGAGAATACATCTTGTACCGCTCCCGCTTACACTTTTCGAGTCGAACCACTGGGTGTGCGAGCCAATCACGCGCCAGTCTGGGGGTTTAGGGCGGGATATCCGGGTTTGACGAAAGCAAGAAGTGCCGGGCCGAAGCAAAACAAACATGGCTACGCAGGAGGACGGATGCGTAGCTGAGGCTATCAAGTCAGTTTTAGCAGAATCTCCAATTTCTTTTTTGAAAGATGAACAGCGAGAGGCGCTTTGTGCATTTCTGGACGGCAACCTTGGTAGGCGGGCACACAGCGTCACTTCGCCCAATCAGCTTGAAGTATTCTGCTGCTTATCCCTCCTTTCCCCGAAAGGATTCTCCGGGAGAAATCCCAGATTGATATCGTGGAGAACGCGTTAGAGTTCTACACAATCATCAATCTGGCTCTTGCCAGGTTAGTGTCTTTATTCACAGCATCACAGTTGAAATGACTTATAAATAATGAATCCATAAAACTATCACATAAACCTGCAGTAGAAACACGTGTAATGAGCTCAAACAGCTTTGTTTGCTATTGTTGTTCTGAAGAGGACAAAGTAGCAGCGTAAATGGGACCGCTCCTGTGTGATCGCCCTCATGTGGTTTGTTGTGGGATTACAACATTCTCCTCAAAACTCCGTAAGGGGAACGCGCCAGTATAACATCAATTGTGCTTACGTAGGTCCACCGCAACCGCTAACGTAAGCCACGCCGCGCAAGTATACACTAGGCTTCAGTAGAGTGTGTGGCCTCCACGTGCCTGAATGCACTCCCTACAACACCTGGGCATGATCCTGATGAGACCACGGATGTCCTCCCAGACCTGGATTAGAGCATCAGTCAGCTCCTGGACAGTCTGCGTGTGCGACGTGTCATTGATGGATGGACCGAAACATGATGTTCCAGATGTGCTCTATTGGATTTAAGTCTGGGGAACGGGCAAGCCAGTCCAAAACATCAATACCTTCATCATCCAGGAACTGCTGACCCACTCTTGCCACATGTGGCCTGGCATTATCATGCATCAGAAGGAACCCAGGGCCCACAGCACTAGCATATGGTCTTACAGTAGGTCTGAGGATCTCATCCCTTTACCCAATGCCAGTCAGGGAACCTCTGGCTAGCTCATGAAGGGCTGTGCGGCCCTCCAATGAAATGCCTCCCCAGACCACCACTAACCCACCACCAAACCGGTCATGCTGGATGATGTTGCAAGCAGAAGAACGTTCTCCAGGGCGTCTCCAGACTGTCACGTCTGTCACATGTGCTCAGGGTGAACCTGCTCTCATGCGTTAAGAGCACAGGGCACCATTGGCCAATCTGCAAATCGCTGTGTTCTCGGGCAAAAGCCAATCGGGCTGCACGGTGTTGGGCAGTAAGCACCGGCCCAACTTGAGGACGTCGGGCCCTCATACCACCCTCATGGAGTTGGTTTCTGGCCGTTTGAGTACCAACATGCACATATGTGGCCCTCTGGAGGTCATTTTGTAGGGGTCGGGCAGGGCTTCTCCTGTTTCTTTGTGCACAAATGAGCAGATAGCTGTCCTGCTGCTGGGTTGTTGACCTTGGTTGGCCCCCTCCAGGTTTCCTGGTGTACTGGCCTATCTCCTGGGTCTGATATCCCAGAAATTTGACTGACTTGGAGTTACATTGTGTTTTTTGGGTGTGCCCTAAGTTTTTGTGAGCAGTGTATTCACCCCCCTAAAGTCAATACTTTGTAGAGCCACCTTTTGCGGCAATCAGAGATCCAAGTACCTTTGGATAAGTCTCTATGAGCTTGCCACATCTTACCACAGGGATGTTTGCCCCTTCCTACTTGCAAAACTGCCCCAGCTCCTTCAAGTTGGATGGTTTGCACTTGTGAACAGCAATCTTTAAGTTTGATCTTTAAGATTTTCTATTGGATTGAGGTCTGGGCTTTGACTAGACCATTCCAACACATTTAAATGTATCCCTTTAAACCACTGAAGTGTTGCTTTAGCAGTGTGTTTGGGGTCATTGTCCTGCTGGAAGGTGAACCTCCGTCCTAGCCTCAAATCACGCACAGAGTGGTACAGGTTTTGCTCAAGAATATCCCTGTATTTAGCACCATCCATCTTTCCCTAAACTCTGACCAGTTTCCCAGTCCCGGCTGCTGAAAAACATCCCCACAGCATGATGCTGCCACCACCATGTTTTACTGTGGGGATGGTGTTCTTTGGGTGATGTGATGTGTTGGGTTTGCGCCAGACACAGCGTTTTCCTTGATGGCCAAAAAGTTCAATTTTAGTCTCATCAGACCAGAGCACTTTCCTCCATTTGGGAGTCTCCCACATGCCTTTTCGCAAGCTCAAAACGTGCCATTTTGTTTTTTGCTGAAAGTAATGGCTTTCTTCTGGCCACCATTCCATTTGGTTATGATAGATTTGATGGTGCTCCTGGCATATCCATCAAAGATTTGGATATTTTTTTATAACCTAACCCTGACTTGTACTTCTCAACAACACTGACCCTTACTTGTTTGGAGAGATTCCTTGGTCTTCATGGCAGTGTTTGGTTAGTGGTGCCTATTGCTTAGGTGTTGCAGCGTCTGAGGCCTTTCAAAAAAGGTGTGTATATGTACTGACAGATCATGTGACACTTAGATTGCACACAGGTGGACATCACTTCACTATTTACGTGACTTCTGAAGGTAATTGGTTGCACCAGAGCTTTTTATGAGCTTCATAACAAAGGGGGTGAATACATATGCACATGCCAATTTCCAGTTTTTATTTCTGAAAAATAGTTTTATGTATATATTTTTCTCAATTCACTTCACCAACTTAGACTATTGTTTTCTGATCCATCACATGAAATTCAGATTTAATAAACATTGAACTAAAGGCTGTAATGTAACGAAATAGGTAGAAAGAAAGTGAATACTTTTGCACTGTAATTCATGTGCTGCTAGAACTCTCACAATATCCTTCATTTGATTTCACATTCGATTTTCACATTTTTCACAAATTAGATTTTTTCATAAGCTGATTAATTGCCTAAATTTGATTTATTGCCCAGCCCTACTGTAACGCTTGTCTTGCATACCCTAAAACCTCTTTGAAGAGCTTCCAGCCCATTCAAAATACAGCAGCAAGGATCTAAACAGGCACCAAAAGGAGGGAGCACATAACTTAACCTGGGAGTTGTTTCAGTCCTGCACCGGACCTGTCCAAGTTCTGCGGGCGCTGCGTGGCCCTGGTCCACAATCTGTACCTTAGGTCCTGGATCTATAGCCCGTCCGTCCGTATGGAGCGGATCCCTCTCTCAATATGTGGGTCTCCCCGAGGTTTCTCACTTTATTCCCCACTGGGTTTTTTTCTCATGAGTTTTTCCTTGCCAATGCAGGAGGGTCTGTTGGACAGACTGTGGTGATGATCCAGGACACTTTAACATTCTACAACATGTGTGGACGTTTATCAACATGTCTCCTATATTCTTTTTGTGTCTTAAAGGAGCTATACCCGTTTCAGGTTTGAATGTTTAGCGCCGCCCCCAACTCGTTCAGAGGCTTCTCATTTCCCCTACGGTCTCATTCCACAAAGCCATCTAGTTTTATTTGCGATCTGATACATATGCTAACATTAGCATTAGCGCAACTTAAAGTAGTACTAGAATTTAATATGCTGCTATCCAGAATATATAACTACAATATGTGTTTATAATATTTCGGGTGTTCATTTTGACATGTTTAGATGAATTATGTTTAAAAAACGGCTTTCAAGTGGCACCTTTATAAAAACGCTAGGGGGAGCCAAAATGGCGGCGATGACGTAGGGGAAGGGCATCTCACAGCAGCAGACAGCAGTCTGGTTGGAAACTGTAGGAGGTTTCACTGTCATCTGAACAAGGTATAAACATATTCATCCGTTTTGTACATAATAGTGTGCAACTCTTTTAATCTTTTAGCCTTATTTGTGAGATTCAAACAAACTATTGTTGGGCAAGTTAGCTAACTCTACTTAATATCATAAAACATGCTAACAAGGCTAATATTCGTGTTTACATTATGCCAGTCTCACTGTGGTTGCCTTGAATTTATTTACCACAATGTACATTGTAATATTCAAAAATGCTAATCAAAATAACTTTAATTAAATAAATATTTTACTTTTATGAACAAAAAGCTGCAGAAGTTGAAAACATAGACTACATGTGATGCAATCATTGATAAAAATGCTAATTAAACCGTTAATAGGTGTTAGCATTTATGGATATTACAATGTACATTGTGGTAAATAAATCTAAGGCAACCAAAGTGAGACTGGCATAATGTAAAAACGAATATTAGCCTTGTTAGCATGTTTTATGATATCAAGTAGAGTTAGCTAACTTGCCCAACACTGATTAGCTTGAATCTCACAAATAAGGCTAAAAGGTTAAAAGAGTTGCACACTATTATGTACAAAACGGATGAAAATATGTTTATACCTTGTTCAGATGACAGTGAAACCTCCTACAGTTTCCAACCAGGCTGCTGTCTGCTGCAGTGAGATGCCCTCCTCCTACGTCATCGCCGCCATTTTGGCCCCCCCTAGCGTTTCTATGCGGAAGTGAAAAAGTGCCACTTGAAAGCCGTTTTTTTAACATAATTCATCTGAACATGTCAAAATGAACACCCGAAATATTATAAACACATATTGTAGTTATATATTCTGGATAGCAGCATATTAAATTCTAGTACTACTTTAAAGCTGCACTAACTGACTTTATTTTTGTATTCATTACGAAAATTCAATCCATATCCATGCAATGCATTGGGATATACAGTACGTCCTTTTGAAGAAAAAGTAACGCAGATTTGTGCTGGCGTGTCATGTAATTTTAGATCGAGTTTTGGTGAAACAAAGAAGAGAATTTGTTTCGGGTCCCGTTTGTGACCAGTCACAGCAGACCACTGGCCCCCGCTTTCTTGAGAAAAGCCACAGGTCTCTCGTTAGCACAGACAGCTGAGGTAAACAAGCGGCGGAGGCTAACCTGAAGCTTCCCGTGTCTTCGTTACCGGTTACTGCTTACACAGCGAAACAGCCATCCAAAAGAAAGTCTTGTTCCTCTGCGCTTCCCGGTTCAATCATTCTATGGTCACGCCATCCAAGTTCAAATGTGTCCATATTGTGAGACGTGAGCTCCATATACAGTTAGCATGAGCAGAGGCTGAGGGGGGGAGGGAAGTGGGGGGGCGAAAGCTCCGTGCGGGGAGGGCGAGCAGAGAGAGCGAGATCAGGGTTCTGATTCGAAAGTTTCTCTAAGTCAGTTAGTGCAGCTTTAAGCTGTACAACAATCCCTGATGAAATGGTACAAAAGCAACGCACTGCTAACAAAATTTAAAACTGAAAGATTACCGCTAGTTTTGTGTCCGAATGTGGTCCGAGCATAGATAGTCCGAGGCGGTCCCGCAGGTTTCTCCCATAGACTAAGTCTCTCCAGACGATACGATGAAAGCTAGCTATGTTCACCCGGGCTTGATTTCTTCTTTGATCTTTTTTTCGCTTTAGTTACCTCTTCTCTTCCTCACTGTTGTGTCGTTTGGGCTGTTTTGCTGTGTCTGCAGTTACAGCAAGAGGAGTTATAGCCAATTCTGCTAACATGCTGCTGTGTTTAAGTCTCTACTCAGCACTTTTATACGGCCTGAATTCATACACAAGCTGAATCAATGAGCTCAAGTTTTCAATTAAATTACGGATTATAAAACAAATTGTATGTAGTAATAAGCATTTTTATGAACTCATTAGAAAATCAATCGGGTATAGCATCTTTAACCGTTGATTCTCTGATCTGTGTTGGTGATTTCAATGGTTTTGTTAAGTCCTCTGAGATGAATACTGTTGTGATTTAGGGCTATACAAGAATAAATTGTATTGTATTGTATTGTATTGTGTAGTGCAAGTGACTTAAAGTGACTTATTGTACAGTCTGACAGTGGTGGTATCTAACTTTGAAACAACAAATCATAGAACTGTGTAACAATGTGACTATGACCTTTCTCAAAAAACAGTTTAATCACTGTATAACAATTGTAATACGCATAAAGTTTGAGGGGATTTGACTTTCGACTGACGACCATACCCTGGATGTGGTCGGAGATCTGATCCGAGTCATCGGACTGGGAGCTGGAGGCCAGGAGCTGTCCCTCAGAGAAGTGAGACACCTCCTCTTCCTCCACTTCATGGGGGGGGGCATCAGGGACCAGCTGGGAACACAACAGAGGAAGGTGAGAGAATAAAAAAAGTATTTAATTAAAATAATAGTAATATTAGGTAGTAAGACACAATGGACTCTTTGTACTCAAGATGGTGCTTTTATTAAAAGAGTCTATTAGGATTTAGGACTGAACTGGCCAAGTCTTAATGCGGAAGAGGACGATTTCAATATAAGCTAGCTGGAGCCAATTTCATTATAACGGCATTTCTTCTGCAGCATTATTTTTGGTCTGTAACAATGGCAGACGTGTTGCTAAGATGGTTGCCTGAGTTTTCCCCCATAAATGAAGGCATCTGATTGGTCAATCCTTATCTGACTTGTATCTGGATATACAAAAACAATATCACAATATTGCATCAAAAAGAGTGCTACAAATTTTTTTAAGGCCAAAATGGTGAGTGTGACACAAATGATTACTAAGCTAGAGGAGTTTACTTTTCAAGTTAGAGAAAAACTTCGTCCATGAGCAGGGCCTTCACTAAGCTAACGGGTTAGAGTTGTCCATCTATAAACTATCTATGCATTTAGCACAAGTACATAGGATTTTGGCTTGATGAAAAAATAATATTCCCTTGAATTACAGAACCGTTTTAGATGTTGGGGATGTTGTTTTCTCACAGTTGACTGGTGATGAAACAGTGATGATAACTCATCACTGTAACTTCAGGTTGGCCTTTGTGGTCCGTTAGAAGAAAGCAACATTGTAATACATTTATTAAGGCCTGATTGAAAAACTGATGATCTGACATGTTTGTTTGACTATGGCTCTGAGGGTCACTGACTTGGCATGTCCGCACATGCTGGTATTTACTTGTTACATGGCCAGTTGAACACAAGAAACACATGGAACACATGGAAAACGACCATATGATTTATTTTTCTCTAAAATAAAAACACATAATTAGACAAGTGTGATGATCCAGTTGAAAATAGTACAGTACAGTATAAAAAACAAAACCTGGTAAAAAAAAAGAAAATCATAAATATGGGAATTTGCACACTCCTAAAAAAGCCCTACAGTCCGTTTTTTATCATTGTACTTATCTTATATTTTGTTGAAACAGGATGCCGAAATAAATCGTAGTCTGGAACTTTCATGAGCTCCACCCCATATGAATAGAGATAATTATCACATGTCTAACCCATGTGCTCAGGGGATTCTCGCGGTACTGCAGACCAGACCAGACTAAATTCACGTGGGCTACCCAGAAATTTTCCCCATAGAACTCAATGTAAATGAAAACAGCGCGACCGCAGCTGACAGAGAACCTACAGCTTTAATAAAGGTCGGATTTTGTGGGGATTTTAGTGTCCCTTGTCATCCTGAACTTTTCTTCTTCTTAAGTCCTTCGGTTTTCTTTAAATCCACACTTTAGTGCCACAAACTCTGCCCGTTTGGCTCTCGCTCTAACTGCCGCTCTGATGAACTGCTCTGATTGGTCAGAGCGCGGCCGAGCCCCTCGGTGCATGTGCATGAGACCCAGTGTGAGACCCACACACGCGTGTTTGGCGCAACGCATTATGGGAGATCATCCACTGCGCAGAACTGGGAGGACCAGACGATGCCCAAATACAAAATAAAAATAAAAATTACCGACAGGGCGGAGCGGACCCTCAAGTGGAGCAGACCCCGATGAGCAGCGTCCGATAATGACCTGCGTAGTGCGTACTGTGAGATTTCATAACACTTTTAAGCAACTTTTGTTAAAGTTAAACTCATCATTCTATCAATGTGCAGAAGCCAGTACTTTTCCCTTGTTTTGTCTATCTGAAGGCCAAGCTACAAGCACACCGTGGAAGCTGCTGATTGGAGGTCTCCATGTCTCCGCTCTGTATAATACACTTGCATTCTGTGGTATCTGTGTTCATGTGCTTTGTTCGTGCTGTCTCTACCATCGACAATAAAACATGTCTTCTGTCTGAATTTAAGACGCGATCCCAGACTATGTCATCTTCTTCAGGTGGTGGAAGGATGCGGGCCTTGTCTGTAACATCTACAGAACAGAAGACTACTTTTTTTTTTTACACAAAAAGTGTTTTTTTTTTCAAGCCAAAACTGAGAAACCTCAAAAGAAACCATGCATCTGGACCAGCACACTTGGACTATCTGCACAGCCCCTGATTCCACTCAGGCTGTGAGCTGCTGAGACATGGACAATACCATCGTCCTCTTTTGCATGGACACCATTTGGAACAATTGGATTACACAATTTGGACAGGATTTGGAACAATTTGATTTTCTGAATTTGGACATAATTTGGACTGAATTGAATTGCTGAATCTGGACACTAAAGCTGAATCGTGTGATTGAAAGACACGTCACAGAAGATTTCATGGCTCTACACAACAAATGCTGACAAATGCAGCCTGAAGAAACCAACACGGAGAAGTGGGAGAGACTGTTTTCAAAGCAATATCTGGAACCACCATCGACTGATGAAGTTTGGTATTTTACTGAAGATTGTTGACAAGTTTTATGAAAGATCTGAACATGTTTTATGAGTTTTATGAGTTTTTGAAGTATTCCGAGTTCTGAGTTTTTTGAAGTACCGAGTTTATGAGTTTTTGATGTTATGTTGCTGTTTATCGATCCTGATGGTCACACGAGAATGTGTGACCAGAGGGGGGAATGTGAGATTTCATAACACTTTGAAGCAACTTTTGTTAAGGTTAAACTCATCATTCTATCAATGTGCAGAAGCCAGTACTTTGTCTATCTGAAGACCAAGCTACAAGCACACCGTGGAAGCTGCTGATTGGAGGTCTCCATGTCTCCGCTCTGTATAATCAGTGTTGGGCACGTTACTTTGAAAAAATAATTAGTTATAGTTACTAGTTACTTCTCCCAAAAACTAACTGAGTTACTAACGGAGGTACTCCACTATAAAAGTAACTAGTTACCAGTAAAATTAACTATTGCGTTACTTTTTCGTTTTGTTCTGGAACATAATGTGCACCCGACGTGCGCATTTTTACCTTTAACAGTGCCAATATTTCCATCTAGAAAAGGCTGTTTTTGCTGCTGAAGTCCTGTTCACTCTTCATCTCTCACTGTGAATGTGGAAACACCGGTGACGAGCGGTGAGGCTGGTGAAGCACTGACTTCAGTCCAATCAGATGAACATATACATCATATAAATCAAGTGGACAATTTGTTTGGCTACAGCAAAATATGTTTTATGCCCGCATTGTTTGTTCATACAAAACGCAAAACTATGAGTTATGGGTCTTACCTTATAAATGACCTGCACAGTCCACTTCGGTTCAGACCAGTTCCTTGTTTAAATCCAGTTAATGGTTTGAGCGTAGATATGTAATCCTCCATTTGGGAATGAGTCCAATGAGTTTTAAAAAGTAAAACAAAACGCGTGTGTCCTCCATAAACTCCTGTGTTTTGCTAGCGGCAGCCGAGTGCATCCAATTTCTAAAATCAACCGTCTTACACTTCACCTCTCTTTCTTATCATTCCTATAGTAATTGAAAAATTACCCTATGTGCATTTTAGATTATGTACAAATGTGTTATATGTATGTTAGCCAAACCTGTTGCTGTCCTTAGCAGATAAACCAGGAAGAGCAAGGAGCTTATCGATGGAATTGTATGCAGCCGACTTCTGCGCTCACATGTGCTCCTCTGAGGCTGGCCTCACGGTGATACAAGACGTGGTTGAGCGCGATTAAGACCCATATTTGTTTCAAAAACACAATTTATGAGCCATCCTCTCAACTGTAGACATGTGGATTGTAAAGGAAATATGATTTACATCAGCCAATAATTGCTGAGAGGTTTTCTCATCCTCCCTTCTCTCATGACAACACATTCATTGTGCGTCTTGAGTAACGCGCAGTAACGGGATGTCGGAAATGATAACGGCGTTATAGTTACTGTCAAAGTAATTAGTTAGATTACTCGTTACTGAAAAAAGTAACGGCGTTAGTAACGCCGTTACTAGTAACGCCGTTATTCCCATCACTGTGTATAATACACTTGCATTCTGTGTTCGTGTGTTGTCCGTGCTGTCTCTACCATCGACAATAAAACATGTCTTCTGTCTGAATTAAAGACACGATCCCAGACTTTGTCATCTTCTTCAGTACTATACATTATGCCTTACATAAATACAATAGATTAAATCAAACAAACCTGTGTCTCTGCATCGGACTCCTCAACAAATGTGACCTTTTTAGAAGCGGCGCCTTCTTTTAGCAGTGCCCTCTGTCTCAACTTTGGCAGCGGGGCCTAGAGTCAGGACACAAATCACAAAAGTGCATGGAACAAGTATCCAATCGGAAAACCAAAGCAGTCGTGCATGTGTGTTCACATCTGTGTGTGTGAAAATCAACACATAATATGCCTTATTCAATAATACAGTAATATCAATTATTATTGATCATAATTTATCAAAGGCATCAATTTGACTATATCTGCTTAGACTGATGCCTCAGCAGACCAGCCCCACTGCAATATCCAATCAGAAAGCCAAATGAGCCTCATTTGGGTTGCCTATTTATATCACTTGCAGCCGATCAATAATTAGGCTCTAGCCCTGTTTTTGTTTTTAAACCCATAAAGAGCCATAAGAAATATTCTAATAAGTAATTTGTTTTTTTGTAATTTGTTTATTTTACATCTCATTCATTTTTCACATGTCCTTATTCTTTCACTCCATACAAGGTGGTGATAAACTACAACTGTAGCCAAAGCTTCCCTGTGGCACACTAACAGAAGCGAGGTAATCAGTAGTTGTGAACATATGCCTCCAGCCTGAGTTCTCATTCTCCCGTAACTGTAAAGAAGTGCTGCTAACGTGTTTGCTGCTGCGGAAGAACTGGTTAATAAAATATATTCATGCGCAGCTCCGTGAACACACACCACTGTTATATGAAGTCTTTGGAGGGTCTGAGGACACAGAGACGCTGCCAAGCTGCATTTGTGGAGAAGAACTATACACAAAAAGCCACTAGCTTGACCCTGTTAGCATCAAAGCCTGCTCGCCACTTCCCCACTTCCGCCCTGCGTTTTTTGGCATCGCAGCAGTAGGGCAGATTATATACAGTAAACTCATGCAGCTGAAATTCAGTAGCCGTATGTCCATGCATCGGCGGTCTGAATGCAGTACAATATTTGAATAAAAAGGCCTGCACAGCTTCAGAGGTCTGACAGGATCTGGCTTTCACATGCAAGTACGGCCACTGAATGGCTACTGTATATCTTCTCTTACCTTAGTTGCTCCCACATTTGGATGGGCCGTGGAAGGCCCAGGACCTGATAGTGCCTTGGGTCCGTCTTCAGCTCTGGGCTCTGTCGGTGGTGTCAGTTCCACTGATGTGGGCCTCAGTGGGTCCTCAGTACCGTTGTTGGCTTGGTGCCCCAGGATCGGTTCAGGCTCTTCAGAGCCAGGAGGAGGCAGATACGGCAACTTCCACTTCAGGGACACCTGGATGTGTCCCGCGGGGAGTCCGGATGGGTCGTACAGCTCAAACTCACCTGAGAAACATCCAGAGGAAATCCAGTATCACTCTGCTTTCAATTATGGAAATTACGCATATTACACATGGCGAGTTCTGAGCTAAACAATATCACTTCAAAGTATATCTCTCATCTCTCTCATCAGTAGCTATTGGTCAAAGAAAATATACAGTATGTATTTATTTTGTCTGCTGCGTGGATGGAAATGAACGACAATCTAAGTATATTAATCACAGTCAGTGGCGTGCCGTGCATTTCAGACCAGCCCCTGCAGTGATTTCCAACCACAGCAATCTCCATCCACAGACCTGCATCAAAACACAACCCCGCTAAACAAACAGGCAGTGTTTAAAAAACTGGTGGAACATGGCTGTAGTTTGTAAATAACAGCACTACGCACACGCGCACAATCCATATTTTTTTTATCTGGGAGAGTATTGAGAAAGAGGCCAAATGTGCAACACTGGCATTCAATATGTTCTGACCCGGTTCGGAGCAATAATGTAGGAATTTCCAAGAAACATATCAAGGAAAGGCATAAAGTATGCAAAAATACACAGAATCACCACAGAACAATCAAAGCTTATCAACAGTGTGTGAGTTTTAAGATTCTGTTATTTTCCTGTGGTGGTGAGGCAGGACTGTGGACAGGACACAGCACCGAGTCTTTGTCATAAACCTTCCTGTTGTATTGTCCTAGCTCAGCAGGGCTGCTTGTTGACAAACTGTTTTTTTTATTTCCATCGGCTTTTAGCCTCATGCTTTGCCCCGGCTGTATATGCTTGTGTCCAGGGGTAAAGTCTTGACTCTTCTGATTTTCTTGAGAATGGAGTTGTTACTATATCTACCAAATCCATATCTCCCTCCTTCTGTCATAGTGGGTGGAAAAAACTAAAACAACTTTTCACACTACGCAATAGCAATTTCATTTGTTTCTGTTTATAGCAATCAAAAGATGCAGTGTTGATTCTGAAGGCCTAGAGGCAGATTTGGGACCCTGGCAACACATGACGCTGAATAATGATTGGAACTCTGGGGCATTCACACCGGACAATGCGTTGCGCATAAACACCAGCCCTACGAATGTTGACCTGGGGCTGGAAGCTGCAGCCAAAGTCATTGAATTTTAGTTGCATAATTAAACACATATTTCTCCAAAACAGTAAAACACTTTTTAAATATATCATTGCAGTAATCAAATGAGTTGGTCGCCTATATAAGATAAGCTCCAAGTATCCAAGAAGTTCCAGATCGATGGCCTGTGCTCTTGTCTCATGCTTGCACCATGGATGTCCCAAACATTAGCAGAAGTGGCACATTCTGGCCAGCTTTGGTTCTCCAGGTCTTTTGCAGTAGGTCCGCAGTGGTTCTACTTTCACAGGACCAGAGTAACATGTGAGAGTTGTGACCAATCAGAGCTGACAATAGACAGTGGCTTTATAAAAAACCAATGGATTTCAAAAGAAACAAAAATCTCAATATGACAAGGGACATTAACATCGCCACAAAATTCAACCATGTAAATCTCCTTACAGTATGTGAGTGCACATAGAGGAGAGACGTCTCCACAGGTTTTGAATCAAACCTTCCTCTATGATGTCATCTCCCCCCCCAAATTTCATTCACAAACCTTGTCTTCATCAATGTAAAAGTATCATTTTGATTTAAAATAGTAATTAAACCCCAAGAAAAAGAAGAAAATTAGGAAATAATCTAACGCAATTGATTTTAATTCTTTCTATGTAAAGTAACCTCTCACCGGTGATGTCTTTATCCTGAGTTAGAGCCGTAAGCGGGATTTGGGCTTTACCCAAATACACGTCCATCTGATCCTCCTTCTCATCGAACACGTAGAACTGCATGAGTGCGGAGAGGAGGTATCGGTGCAGGGCCTGGTCCATGGCAACGGCGTACAGTTTGGAGTCATTGAACTGAGGTTGGGTGGAGTCAGGGGCAGTGTCGGAGGGGTAGTCCGGCGAGTTGTTGAAGCGGTAGATGACGTACGCACTCGGAGAGGCGGAACTCCTGGATCTAAGGCCCCTGCAGCTGTGGACGGACACGCACAGCTCATTCCAGGCATCCGAGAGCACCGGCTGCAAAAAAAAATGTTTATTTATCCTACTTTATTTTACTAATCAAAACATTAACACTAGAATTCCCAAAGCAGTCAAAATGACAGCCTTTAATTTTTTTGTTTTGTAATTATTCAGCTTATGTACATTTGTGGTTTTCTGTATATATGTCTAGTTTATTTGCATGTATTTTATTTTTGAAATGTGAGGTCGTGGACTGGAACCAGTTAATTTACTCACTCGAAAGAAATTACTCAAAGCAAGTCCAGTACGACCAAGGGATAAAACCTACAACCTTCCAATATGCTTATTTATACAGAGAGGTCCTGTAGCTTGCATTACCAGTGGAGAAGGGTCTGAGCTGGGGCTGACGTAGTCCATGGCCTTCAGCTTCTCTTGGTACAGGAGCAGAGTCTGTCTCATCGGGATCCGCAGCCTGAACCAGTAATCCAGAGAGCCGAAGGAGCGCACCTCCTCGGACGCTCCTACAGGGGGTAGGGAGCAGGCGTGCAGGGAATGGTCAGGGAGAGGGCGTGCGGGGAATGGGCAGGGAGAGTATAGGTATTAGACATTACACCACAAAGAGGGTGTGCAGCAGGGAAACACAGAGGAAAACGCATTCAAGGGTTCAGTTTCATTAAGTGGTCATTTTAATTTATTGGAGATTTAATGGAGCAACAGTGTGAAAATAGATTATCTGAAACATTTTTTCAACTCTTGTTTCCTTGGACCATTATGAAATTTCAACACGAATCAGTAAAATTGGGGCGACAGTGGCTCAGTTGGTAGAGCATTGGCCTTTAGGCCTTAAGGTTGTAGGTTCGAGCCCACCACAAGACCTACTTCATGACTCCCACTGATAACTGCTGTCATTGTGTCCTTGGGCAAGACACTTAACCCCACTTTGCATGAAGCCCCCGCTGAAAGATCAAAGCCCCTGTGGACTCACCACCTGCAGGAGGATCAGTGAGGGGCTGGTGCTGTGTACTGGGTGCAGCTCTGACCCCCCAACCCAGAAATGGATTAAGGGGAAGAAAATGGATGGATGGAATCAGTAAAACCAAAGCGCCACTCACCGATCAGCGGAATGCTCCCGTGCACTTTCCCCTCCCGCTCCATCAGTGGCTGCAGTCGTATCTGCCCTGAAGCCAGAGTGGACCAGTCCAGTCCCTTGGCCTGGTGCAGCTCCACAGTGATCACGCCCCGGCATAGGTAGTCCACAAAGGCCCGCTCCACGCGCACCACATATTGCGAGGTGAAGCCGTAGCGTGGGCAGAGGCCACTCACAACAGGCGTGGAGTGCAGCTCAAAATGGTGAAGCTGGTAAGTGCAGAAAGTGGTGGGCTCGGCGTCGGACAGGGACTGCAGAGCGGAGGAGGACAGGGTCACGCTGGTGATCTGGAGCTCCAGGACATTCTCCCCGCGCTCCAGAAGAATGCTGTTGTTAAACCCATCCGCCGCATCGTCTTCTTCCGGTTTAAACACGTACGCCTTTGTGCCATAAGCAATGTCTTTGAGCTGAGCTGGAAGGACAGGTGGAGAAAAAAATAGTATGTCTTGCTTTTGCCCATGAAACAATTAAATGAGACTATTTGCTCTGTCATTTGATGTTTTCAAATTTAAGAATATTTATTTATTTCCATAAAGTCATCAATGCCTAGTAGAAACGCAGCAGATGAAACTCCTCCACAAACCTTCGAGTTTCTTTATTCTTGCGGCTCTCGAGTCCAGAAGTTTTGCCTGATTCTCTAGACGATGCTCCAAATCCAACTGCTCAGTTTTCAGCTTTGAAGTCACTGTATCCAGCTCCGCCTGCGAAACACGAGAACGAGAGAAAATTATTTCAAAATCCCTGATGCCCAGTTTCCGCTGTGCGACTGTGGCCATCTGCAGTGAGAGATGACTGATGTAGGAAAGATCACTACTCAAAAATGTCTTTGATATTAAGTTAATCTTTTTGGTAGATTGAGCTTTACCCTTTCATAGTCCCAGTGATCAGTCTCAGTCAAACATGTAACCAACAGAAAGCCAATCGACAAAATGACTCCAGAGTGTGAACAGAGAATAAACTCAATTTAATTTTCATTAAGACTCCTACAAAAGACATGAGAACATTGGCTCTAACATGTCTTTGATGTACTTTGATGCCAGGCCATGGAGAGTCTTGTACACAACCAGAGCTGCTTTAAAGTCTATTCTCTGTGGAAGCAGAGCAGAGATCGACCAAAGAACTGGACTAGTGCGCTATATAAAAAAACATTACTTACCACTTACTTACTTACTTACTAGTGTGATCGTACTTCCTCGATCCAGTCTTACTAAACCAAATGGCTATTGGCACAGCATCATTTTATTTTCTACATCTTAAGTTTAATTTATCTTATATTATTTTACATGTACATAAAGGTGGCAGACTTGTACATTTAAATGTGTAACTTTTACTGTACCTCTGTGCTGAACTTTGGAAACCTTTTAGAAAAAAATATTTTTTTATAAATATCTTTAGCCTAATTATGTGTTTTGAAAGTTTGGTACCCCAGCTTTAATTCGTATTGTGAGGAGTGTGGAGCTGCACCTTGTATCCCCTGCAGATCTGGTTCTCCACACTCAGCAGACTCCGTGTTTTCTCCAGCTCCTGGATGGTTTCTGCATGCGCCGCCTTGAGCTCCTTCACCGCACTGTCCATTTTCAGCTCATCCCCAACAGCAGAAAGGAACCCTAGCTCCCCGCTCCTCTGAGTCTTCTGCCTCTGACCAGACACACATTGGAGTCGTGCTCAGAGGGTAAGAGGACATGAAAACTTCCGTTTCAAAGACCTTTATTAGACACTTACTTTAACCAGGAGGAGCGCTTCAGTCAGTTCAGATACATCATAGTCACTGTCCTGAAAAACAAAAACAACTGCTTTAAAACCTGTAACTTACTAAATTATTCTTGATTTCACCTGATTGGCCATTCTCTACTCTACTTTGCTCTACTTTACTCTATTTGGCTCTGCTCTTCTCAACTCTACTCTTCTTGGCTCTATTCTACTCAATTGGAAGCCCTGTTTAAGCCATACCAGGTACGTCTTGGTCCTGGTTCTATCCTGGCGGAGCTGATACTTAAAGACCTTATGCCGGGTTTAAAAAAAAATAATTGTGGATATCAAAATTGCATGACAATGTTTATCTGAAATAGATTCCGGCAAAAAAAATCCTATATTTTATAAAAAGAACGTGTTTTTCATGATTTTAAGTTGTCTATGCTCTAACCTGTGTGTGACGTCATAGCGGATAACGCCCATGCATTGAAAACCATGCATCTATGCCACAGGACTGCCTTTTCCCTCTTCTCTCGACTGATGCCCAACACAATACTGCACTCTACAGGTGACAATTGCTCACTACACATAAATTGCCGTTTTGAGAGTGAAAATGTGTCTGAAGTGGGATTTGAACCCCAATATCTGGATTGGCAGTGCATCGACACAACCACTAGACTATTTCTGTGCCAACAAAAGGTTACAATCTAGTAGCAATCTCAGACTCGCTGTACACGGCCTTGTCATCTTGAATATCCGCGAAAAAAGAACGAATACCAAATTGTAAACAACTTACAGCGTTGAAACGTACCCACTCTGACGTCACCAAGGGCTGTGAAGTTTTTTCGTCTCTAAGGGCGTTGCTATGGGGTTATTTCGATTTGGGGGGATCAGACAATAAAAACAACAACTGATTTTGAAACCTTTAGTAGTTCTCTTCTAATATAAAATGGTATTAAAACTGTATTTCTAAATAAATCAAACCCGGCATAAGGTCTTTAAGTGTTCTAACTGACAGTGGGTGGCCAGACTGCTGCTGAGAGCCAGGGTTACCAAGGAATTTCCCTAGATACCAGTTTGTTGTGGGTATGTTGCTAGGATACGGTTCCAGACGCCAAAGCGTAATAAAAATTCCATGAGGTAGAATAGAATAGGGCCAACTAGGTCTGGTGGAAACAGGGCAAAAAATGAGAACACACAGCATTAATTAGGAAACAATTTTTCACTAAAAAGACCTCACTTTGCTGTACACTTTCAGTTTGTCTTTCATCTCGTCCAGCTGCTGCTTCTGCTCCAAGAACTGAACGTGCAGTTTTTGATTCTCCTCCATCAGCTTCTCGTTGGTTTCTAATATAGGAGCAGTAGAAACTATCAATCTCTCAAAGACCTATAGATTTGCATAGTTTGTCATTGTTCGAGTTGAAGAAAGACCTCTCTCGGCTTTGACTTTGTCCAGGATCTGGTTCTTGTCCACAAGGTCGGCCTGAAGCGCTGTCTCCAGCTGTGAGATCTGCAGCTGTAACTTCCGCTCCTGGATCTGCCATCTCTGCTGCTGCGACACATCAAAGGCACTGGACACAACACAGCGTGACGTCATCAATGAAAATAATAGAAAAGAAAAGTGTAGTACTATTAAAAAGCAGTAGAGACCTGTTGAGAAGTTTGTTGTTGTTCTCCTTCAGAAGGTCCTTTTCCTGTTCGAGCTCGGAGATCTGTTCTTGCAGCTGACAAACAGAAAAAAGTACCCTTTTCTAATAACAGCCAATTTACCACACGGTAATTGTTGCAACATTGTATTCGATGGTATTGAAAGTGGGACATATTTAGAAATGGGGTAGGGAACATTTCTTGGTGGAACAGAACTCCTGGTAAATATTCATAGGTGTGGCTTCTGAAATGAAATCCACTTGTGATGTTACCAGCTTCATAGACAGTAAGGTGCTGTTGGGACGGACCTGGCGCAGAGTGCTACTGGCCACAGCTGAGCTACGGAGCTTCTCCTCCAGCTCCATACTCCGGAGTCGCTCCTGCTTCAGCTCCACAGACACAGACTCCACTTTGGAAAGAGCCGAGTCATGACTGGCCTTCAACCTCTGCTGACTCTGGACACACGCACATACATATGTACAGATAGAGACACACAAAGACACACACACAAAAACACACACAGAGTTTAATTCCTGGGCCAGACAGGACCTTTTTGTGTGAAGTTTGTATGTTCTCCCAGTGTCTGCATAGGTTTCTACTACCACTAAAAATTACAACAGAACAGCCCTTGTAATCACTCCATTATCTCAGTATGCTGTGAGGCTATTTTTTTTAATTCAGCAAAAGAAGCTCTGAGAAAATCCTTACTCTCCCCAAGCCTCTGCCCATTTCTGCTTCACCTCTTTCAGCTGCAGGAACCTCCCCTCCAGCTCTGTGACGACGTTGGCGCGCTCCGACAGTTGCTTCTGCAGTTTGATCATGTTCACGTTGCTGCCAACGTGCGTGCTGAGACCAAACATAAACAAACAGAACCCACCGTCAGCGCCCATGCACAAGCAAAGTGTGGAAAAGCCGGTTAAATTTAATGAAGAGGCCCGACGGAAAACAATCGATAGCAGTGCTGCTAAAAGGGGGTCAGTGTGTGGAAGTTTGTGTTTAACGAGAAGCAGGCTGCAAATACGTGTGGAAACAGAATCCTCAAAAATATAAGTATTCTAGTAATTACTCCGTGTGTTTGGCTCAAATTTGTACTTTTACTGTAATACAAACTGGAAGTTTATTTGGCTAGACTTGTATTATTGAATAATGTGTCCAATTAAAATGAATAAATATGTGTGTACGTTGGCCTCAGTGTGGTGTTGTTTCTGTGTGTGCATATGTGTGTTTATCTTTGTGTGTTAATGTGTGTGTGAGTGTTTGTATATGTCTATGCGTGTGCCTGTGTGCGGGTGTGCGTATGAATGAGTACGTCTCTGTGTTTGTGCGTGTCTCTGTGTGTGTATTCAAATCAGCCTCTTTCACATTAACACTGTTGTGGCGTCACTGTCAGTCCACTCCTCTATAGTTTTACCGGAGGCTGGACGCCTGCTGCTGTCTCGCCTCCAAAAGTCTCTCCTCAAACTCCGCCTCATTCTTCTTCCGTTCATCTCTGAGCAGCTGAACGTCTTCCTGCAGCTCCTCTATGTGGCTTCTCTGTGACTCGATCACATTCTCTCTAAAGTACAAACAACTATCACTCATTTAGGACTCAGTGACATACGGACAGTGCAGTTTTCTGAAGTTTAAAACAAAAAGTACATAAATTCCTACTTCTACCACTAGATGGAGGTCATTCTAGTCATAATACTTGTCCATTCCACTAAATTGAAGTAAATATTATTAAGATCACGTTTATAGGCAAATTGAATGAGCTACAATGGGGAAAAAAGTATTTAGTCAGCCACCAATTGTACAAGTTCTTCCACTTAAAAAGATGAGGGAGGCCTGTAATTTTCATCATAGATATACCTCAGCTATGAGAGACAGAATGAGAAAAATAATCCAGAACACCACATTGTCAGATTTGTTTTATTATTTACAAATTATGGTGGCAAAGAAGTATTTGGTCAATAACAAAAGTTCATCTCGATACTTTGTTATATACCCTTTGTGGGCAATGACTTTGAGCTCAAATCTTTAAAACACAGTTGCAGGTATTCTAGCCTGGCCTTAGCCATCCGTACACTCCGCTCAATCATCCTTTCACTGGATGTAACGTCTGGGTCTTGTCCCCATGTTAGCACCATAGACTGTATATATTAATGGACAGAGTCACGCCTATCTCCGCCGTTCTAACTAATGGGCCAAAAAATGTGCTCTACTGGAGCAATCCAAAATGGCCGCAAGTGGTCCCGCCCACAAGAAAATTGTGAAAAAACGCATCTGCGCATGCGTCAGCCGGCGCAACTCCATTCATTTGAACGAGAGACTTAAAAAATTCACAGCAAGTAAACTAGAGTGGACCAAAAAAAATCCACCCCCTTCAGCATTGACACACATGTGGAACGGAGCTTTGGGCCAAGAGCCAACTTTTGGTATTGCAAGCATGTCAGCGCACGTCATTTTGGCCATTTTTGAGCTGGGACCCTCCCCCACTGGTTAGCAATTACAATCGCTTGAATTTCGACTGACGAATCAGCGAGCGCGGAAGGCGGGTGTTGTAGTTAGTTGTGGGTGACGTCAAGAGTTTGCGTCGAACGGGAAGGTTGTATTTTGGCAATGGCAAAAATGCGATAGTAAAGTAATCCGGTCTGGTTCTATCAAGAAATTGAAGCCGGAGAAATAGGAATGTTTAGCTGGAAGAAATTGTGGCGCTACTCCCCACGGGCTCTGTTAGCGGCAAAGGAGATGGTTAGGCTAAATGCTAAATGCTAACGACTCACTCGGGCGCACTACATACGTCACAGTAAACTCAGATCCAATCGTTTCAATCTGCAAAAGCAGCTAAGCCTTCCCACCTGTTAACGGAGCTCAATGGAGCGCCTCCAGACCATAGTACGAAACGTAATTTGTACTATGGTATGGTACGACCAGGCTAGAGCTTCTCTAGAGCAGTGTTGTTTTGGATCTGTTCCTGGGCAACACCGACTTTCAACTCCCTCCAAAGATTTTCTATGGGGTCCAGATTAGAGCTGCAACTAACGATTATTTTGTAATCAATTAATCTATCGATTATTTTTACGATTAATCGAGTAATCGCTTGGCTGTGAATTGTGTAAAAAAATTGTAAAAAATATTTTTTCATCACAAAAAGCTAAAGCGGCAACACTCGAGGACGTATTGATGGCGTAAACTTAAAGTAAATGTTTGTAACAGGCTCTTTGTGCTAATTCTGCTATCTGATTGGATGAGACAGACAGATATTCATGAAATTATAAAAACAAAGTCTGTTTTAATCAAAAATACTACATTTTCATGTCATTTTTGCTCTGTTTGAGTCCGTGTGAACCAGAAAACGATTAATCGATTACTATAATAGTTGTCGACTATTTCAATAATCGATTAGTCGTCGATTAATTGATTAGTTGTTTCAGCCCTAGTCCAGATCTCCAAGACCTTAAAATGCTTCTTACCAAGCCACTCCTTTATTGCCTGGGCGGTGTGTTTGAGATCATAGTCATGCTGAGTTTTTTCATTCTCTACTGTTTGTCAAAATCTAGGGACAAGTGCTGTGTATTAGCTGTGGCTATAAGCACCATGATGCATGCATCAGACTACTGTATGACAGTTTATCCATGTTTTCTGTACCTGTCCCTTCTCGCATAGAGCAAATAATAATCTTCAATGCCCTTGCTGATGGAGGGAGGTTTTCATTGAAAATCTCACATGCATGGCCCAAATAATTCTTTCCTTTACACAAATCAGTTGGATCCTGGTGCCTTTGCAGAAGAAAAACAGCCCCAAAGCATTATGTTTCCATCCCCATGCTTCACAGTAGGCACGGTGTTCTTTTGGATGCAACTCTCCAAAAGAACATCGCGTTTTCACCAAAAAGTTCTATTTTGGTTTCATCTGATCACGTGGCAGTCTCCCAATCCTCTTCTGGATCATCCAAATGCTCTCTAGCAAACTTCAGATGACATGTACTGGCTGAAGTAGGGGGACACGTCTGGCCCTGGCCAGACTGATGTGTGTTACTGATGGTAGCCTTTGTTACTTTGGTCCCAGCTCTCTGCAGATCATTCACGAAGTCCCCCCCCATGTGGTTCTGGGATTATTGCTCACCGTTGTTGTGATCATTTTGACCCCACGGGTGAGATCTTGCGTGGAGCCCAAGATTGAGGAAGATTATCCATGGGCTTGTATGTCTTCCATTTTCCATAATAAATAGAACATTGATGTATTCAAAATATTTTCTCCCACAGTTGATTTCTTCACACAACTCTGCTTACCTATTGCAGATTCAGTCTTCCCAGCCTGGTACAGGTCTACAATTTTGATTCTAGGACAGCTCTTTGGTCCTGGCCTTAGTGGAGTTTGGAGTGCGACTGTTTGAGGTTGTGGACAGGTTTCTTTCATACCGATAATGAGTTCAAACAGGTGCCATCAATACAGGTAACACGTGGAGGACAGAGGAGCCTCTTGAAGGAGTTACAGGTCTGTGAGAGACAGTAATCTTGCCTGTTTGTAGCTGACCAAATTTTCCACCATAATTTGTAAACAAATTCTTGTGATTTTCTACATTTTTTTCCCTCATTCTTTCTCTCATTGTTGAGGTATACCTATGATGAAAATTACAGGCCTCCCTCATCTTTTTGCGAGTGGGAGAACTTGCACAATTGAGGGCTGACTAAATACTTTTTTGCCCCACTGTATATGTTTCCATATCACTGTACACATAAGAAGACCAAGTAAGCGGCACTCACAGGTTGCGTATCTCGGCCCTCGCCTCCTCCAATAGACTGTGTCCGTATCGGGGCAGCTGACCGGTCGGAGGTCTCCCTGCTCCCTCCAAACTCCTTGCGCCTACAAAGATTCAAAGAAGTTTGTGGTCATGTATACCTAGTGTGAGAGCCATACAGTGAATAACAACACTTTGTACTAAAAATAATAATAAAAATAATGCATTGGTTTTATATAAATTGTTTTGTACACTCAAGGACACTGCTAAGAAATCCTGGTGACTGAGAACCAAGCCCCGGTGAACCAAGATGGCGCCCTATTCAAATAATTGGATTGTGCTCAGTGGCACAGTGCCACCAATCCTCACAAAATCCAACCTAAATGAAAGCTGTAGGTTCTCTGACAGCTGAGGTCGAGCTGTTTTAGTTTACGTTGAGTTCTATAGGGAAAGCCCACATGAATTTAGTCTGTAGTAGCGCGAGAATCTCCCGAGCACATGGGTCCTTCAGCTCCAAGGCAGTAATACCCTATCCAGAGATATTATAATAGATCCATGCTGAGAACCCTGGTATATCGCATTAGAACAGAAGATGCAAAAAGTTGATAATGCAACCAATATGTGTCTAATATACCTCCTCCACTGTGGGACGAATAAAGGAACTCGTATCTTATCTTATCTTATCTTAAACATACTAAATCCTCAAGGGCTGGAGACAGGGACGTCCTTTTCATGCTCTACTGTTTGTGTATGCCAATAGAATAGTGGAAAATTTGGCAGGACTCACTTTTGGGTCTCAGGGGCGGGGGTGAGGGTGAGTCTCTGAGCTTCCTCATTCCAGAGTTGATGCGTGAGTGGATGTGGCTGTATGGGGCGGCCCTTCTGCCCTGCTGCTGGATGATCTGCTGCTTGGCCACACGAAGACGCTGTTTCAGGCCTTCGTTCTCGTTCTGCAGACTGCGGATGTTTTCCTGGAGCTCCTCAATCAGCTCCTCCATGCCCACATCCCGCACTCTGGCCCCGAGGTGCGGGGGGGCTCCCATGGACAGCTTCTCCAGGCGACTGCGATCCTTTACCAAACGCATCAGCTTTGTGGCCAGTCTGAACAGGATTTGGAATTAAAATTATGTAGCAGGCTTGTTAGAGTGCAAAGCTCAACTTCACAACATAGACAATACAACATTCATATAACTAATGAATGGACAGAATGTGATGCCACAACAATAATTTTAAGAAATGTCACTTTCTAAAACAGGTGTAACTCACTTACAAACTATTTCTTATAATACTCCAAGTGGTTTTCTAACTATTTTTCGACAAAAACACTGATTTAGGCTGAGTGAGGGTGGTCCTCTCTTCTCCACTTTTCTGACTAAAAAAGTTGATGGAAATACGTGACAGAATCCTGAAAATTATATATAAATATATATGGATTTGAAAATCATCTGTAACAAAACTGTTTTGAGAGTGAGGAACGAACTCCACTGGCTCCTTGTCCCATACTGCATACAAAATAATCCAAGTAATGTAATTTTTGTTTAGAAGCTTTACCTCAAAACTACATTTGACAACCCAATCATTTTCATAGGGTGTGGATAAAAGCTATGAGGAAATAATAAAAGGTGCATATCTGTAATGAGACTGACTTCTTGATTTTGTCATCCTGGTTATTGATGTGCTGTTTGAGGTTGAGATTCTCGTCGTTGAGGCGCAGGAACTTGTCCTCCAGCTCCTCTCGGGACATTCGCTGCACATCCTGACGCACTCGAGTGTTCGCCCCACTGGAAGTGTCTGTTGGTGATAAGATCAGAAAACAAAGTCCCGTTAGCCAACATGCAGTACACCGGTCTTCATCCACTTCATAGAACATGTGATCGAGAAAAATGTGACAATATGGGAGGATAAGGACAAATAAGCAAGGCAAGCTTTGTTGTATTTGTTTTGTATTTGTCCATATACAAGAAAATAAACAAGGTCTATAATAAATAATCAAGCTGCATTAAAAATAGTGAAGAAATACAGGCATCTACCTGCGCTTGAATTATTTGTGAAGGTTTATATTATTACACAATGGCCACTAATCCTGTAATGTATACAGGTGCCTCTAACCCCATTTTATGTAGAGACCTCTATTTATGATGTATGCTATGTTAATGTGTTGCTCTTGACGTATGCTGACCTTTTGGCCAGGTCCCCCTTGAATGAGTGCTTTCAATCTCAATGGGTGTTTACCTAATTGAATAAGGCTTTACAAATAAATGTATATTGTAATCTAAATTTAAAGGTCCTATATTACAGTATTTGAATTTTCTATGCTTTGCACACCATTAAAGTGCATTTTGGACTTCATATACATGCCTAAAGTGTTTTTTTTGTTGATTCCCTCAAGCTTTAGTTAGAGAGCAATCATTCTCTTTCATTCTTTAGAGGCAGTAAAACGCCTCGGTTTAAATTTATGAAGCGGCACTACTTTGATGATGCAGCACACGCTGTAGATGCAGCATCTCAAATCAGCACATGCAGCCACGCTCCCCAGTTCAGTTTGTGTTCGCTTCATATCAATCTCTGCAGTTTTTTTTTCTGCTATTGTCACTGACTCAAAGTATTAGCATTTTGTCAACTTGAAGAAAATGTGTTTTTGGGTGTAAATATGTGATGACACTAATTGACATGCCCGAAGACAAAGAATGAGGCAAATGTGGATGGACTTTATTCACAGGGGTCTGCCTCTGAAATTTGCAACATATCTGTTTTTCTGCAAGCGACACTTCACCAAAGACTGTTCCAGAACTATGGTTGCAATGAAACTGAACTTACAAAGGCAGATTCCCACAATATAAGACACTAACACAGAGACTGTAAACTAAATAATTATGGCTCTACGTGACGAATCGCCATGGTGGGGAATAGTTCATTCTCAGGTCTGAAATTACTATGTACCCGTGTCACATGCTGTGTGTTTGCCTCAAAGTCTGCGTGAGGCTAGGTCACCACGCGGGTGACCTGTAGGAGAAATTCAGGTGTCCAGTAGCAGCAAAATAAATAAATCAAAGTAAGTAATAAAGTAATAATCAGCAACGGCCCTTCAGGTCACAGCAGCACAGATGGAGTAGCCTCTGGGTGGAGCATGACGGGTCGCAGCAGCACAGATGGAGTAGCTTCTGGGTGGAGCAGGACGGGTCGCAGCAGCACAGATGGAGTAGCCACTGGGTGGAGCAGGACGGGTCGCAGCAGCACAGATGGAGTAGCCTCTGGGTGGAGCAGGACGGGTCAGAGCAGCAGAAGTGGAGTAGCTGCTGGGTGGAGTAGGACGGGTCAGAGCAGCAGAAGTGGAGTAGCCGCTGGGTGGAGCAGGACGGGTCAGGACGGTAGGGGTGGAGTAGCCTCTGGGTGGAGCCGGACAGGTCAAAAGGTGGAGTAGCCGCTTGGTTCGGACCGTTTTCTCTAACCTTGCCTGCAAGCTGAATTCTCGCAGTATTTGTGAGTTCACAAACACTCGTGGAGAACGCATTAGAGTTCTAAACAATCATCAATCTGGCTCTTACCAGGTTACGTTTTCTCTGCTCTAGTCCAAACAATTCATTAGCATTTTTCAAAAAGTTAGCATTCCTCCAGTGGATTTTCGGCTGATACGCTTGAATCGAGCCATGAATCCTCTCCGCTCCGGTCTGGACCAGTGCAAAACTATGCACACTGTTCTGCAGCAACATCTCAGGCAGAAATAAGCAATAAAAATAAAAATTGTAAAGCACAAAACAACAACTGTTTCAGAGCTACTTAGGACTTGCTGCCGTTATCCAGCGCATTCAAAAGTAATGTAATTGTATGGTGTATCACCCACATTATTATCACAGGATGGGCTTTTAACAATACAATGAAGAGCGAAATATGGGATGTTTAAAGAAAGCCCTGTAAATTTATGGATTATTTATTCATAAGACATTTTGTCCCTGATGAGTCATATTCAATGCTCTTATGGTTGTGTCACCCCTTATTGTGTGTTTGAGCATTACAAACCTAAAGTTAGTCTGGGAACATTAGGACTTAAGTCTCTGACCGGAACATCTGTAGCTGTGTCGTCCAGAAACGACATGGTTCAACCTAAAACAGAACAAAGCATTAGAACACTCATACTTTTATACGTGATTTTAATAATAATACTAAATGATAAACTCAAGTCAAAACAGTTTGCTTCTAAAACTAGTTTTCTAATAATTACTAATTATTTCACAAACAAGGAAGTTGACTTATCTAAACATGGATATGGCATGAATTAAAAAATCTTCACAGAATTTCTTAAAATCACAGTAAGTACACACAATGAGATTTAACAGTGCAGGTTTAAGTGACAGAAAGGTGGGGGTTGTAAAGGGCAGGGTTAAGTGATGGGTTATGTGTTCATGAATACGACTGGAGAGGGGATCAGCTTTAGATAAGCTATTAACGCTACATTCAGACGAGAGAAAAGAGGATCACCCTGATGTATGAAAAATATAACATGTTTTTTTAATAAGATTAAGACAGCTTGTTGTGGTCTGACTCACAACATTTTACTTTTCAAAAGAATCTCCCTGTTGGGACAAACAAAGAATTATTGAGGAAATAAAAAAGTTAGTTAAACCATCTGAATAAACGTAACGTTAAAATAACTTATGTATCTAACGCTATATGAAAGACACACTACAACAACTAGCTCTAACTACGCATGGTATTTCATCAGTATAATTTGCGATAGTCCTCTAGTTTTGAACATGAGAGGGAGTAAAACAATTAAACTGTGAAAAAGCACGCAAGTTTTGGGTTGTTATTAGCATTAGCATCGTTAGCTCATGTCCGCCATCACGAAAGAACCAAACTGCTGCTGCTTTTTCTCACCTCTGCGCTGAGAACAGGTCCCAGCAACACTCCAGAACTGTGTGGTGTTTATAAGAACTAATATGTAACAACATTATAGAGTTGAAACATCATATACATCTTTGAAAACGTGATATGAACGGTTGCTACAGAAAACATCCGCCCGGGTTGTTAGGGTAAGGCACGCATGCGTCAAAAGACCAAGGGATGCTGGGAAATGTAGTTTATGAATTAGAATGAAATTATAGGGCAGAAAACTATTATATACTTTGTACATAATTAACCATATTTGTGTTTGTGTTATCGACTCAAACAACTCTTAAAGATTGGGTTACACCAAAAACTTTGAAAACAGGAACTGTGACATTGATTGTATTACATTTTTGTGGTTTCAAAGATCCAACCATCCATCCCTTTTCTTTTGCTTCATCCGTTGCCAGGTTGCTGAGGTAGCAATCAAAGACACGCCCAGACTTCCCTCTCCACACACAGTTCACCCCAGCTCATAACAGGTATTGGAACAAAAAAAGTTACCCGGTGGGTCCCTATGACAGGGCCATTCCATATGGGACTCACGGACATGGTTTTAACTCCTAAAATCTTGCTGTATTTTTGGCAATACTGGGGTCACTTTAGAATTACTCTGCACTCTGATCTTTTTTACTGAGAGTATTACAAAACATTCCAAAACAGTCAATACAAAACAGACAAATCTTTTACAGGATTAGAGACCTTTATTATTGATTTGCTTTCCTCGAAATGCAGTGATTCTATTTTTTGCCACTCCATGTCCGATGTCGAAGGTCATCTGGTGAGGCCTTAATGCAGGCCAGGCAGGGAAACTTCCCAGGGACTTTTGCAGTCTATATGAAAGACTTCTCCACAGCCTTCTCTTCAGATGCAGAACATGGTTTTCTTATGGTCTGGTGCCTCGCGCACCAGACGCACATTCTCTAATTTTTAGACGCAGGGGTGTTCAGACCTGAAGTCCTGGCCTGCGGTGGCGCCCACGGGAAGTGGCTGAAGTAGCGGCTGGACTTTGAAACTAATAGAGTTAAGCTAGCGGCTTTTTGTGTAAAGTTCTTCTCCAATAATGCAGCTCTTCAGTGTCTCTGTGCCAAGAGACCTTCCAGAGACTTTATACAACAGCAGTACGTGTTCACTGAGGTGTGCTATAAGTTCCGCCATACTTCCGCATTGGCGAACATGCTCAAAGCAGTTGTATACAGTCACGGGAGCATGAAAACGCATATGTTCACAAGCACAGTGTCCCCCATTGTCAACCCTGGTTTAGCTCCTGTTTTGGTATTTAGTATTTTCAGTCTGCTCGCTCAGACCGCTTATGTCCCCGTGACCACTTTGCGGCTCTCTGGTTGCTGCATGAGAGTCCCGAGGAAAAGTTCAGCAAAGTTTATTTCCCGCGTGCAGCGATTTTCATCTGAACCACAAACTGGACTGGACTCATAACACAAACGCCCTCTTGAAGAAAGGCCAGAGCCGACTACTGCTGAGGAGGCTCAGCTCTTTTGGAGTGTAGGGGTGTACTGTGGTGGCATCAGCCATCTTGTACGGTGTGGTCTGCTGGAGCAGCAGCATCACAGAGAGGGACAGGAAGAAGCTGGACAAAGTCATCAGTAAGTCCAGCTCAGTCCTGGGCTGTTCCCTGGACACAGTACAGCAGGTGGGGGACAGGAGGGTCCTGGACAAACTAACATCTATGTTGCACCATGATTGTCACACCCTGCAGGACACGCCGTCTGCTCTGGAGAACAGCTTCAGTGACAGACTTATTCATCCTCGATATTTGAAGGAGAGGTTCCGCAGGTTTTTCCTTCCTGCTGCTGTCAGACTGTACAACAATGAGTACTAATGAACACTGCCAACTTGATCCCACGTGTCGTTGCAATATCCTTAACTTAAATCAGAATTTACAATAACTGCATGTCGCTGTCACGTGACTGAGTCACTGTGTCCTAGAGCCTCATGTTGCTAATGTACAGAGGTAAACATACTGCTGCTAATGTGCAGATCCTAACATATGACTACACATTGCTTGCACTAGAATACGCAGTACTTTATACTTGCCTCTTATTTTGCCAAATGTAAAACCTTATACTTCGTTTTTTATTATTATTTTCAAGATAAAGAATTTATACTTTTTACTGATGCTAGAGTTTTGTTTTACATTAATTAGTATAGGTATTGTTCACTTATCTTGTGCTGTGTGCTCCTCTTTCCTACTGTTCTATAACTTGTGATGCAACACTGAAATTTCTCCACTGTGGGACGAATAAAGGATCTCTGTTAATCTTAATTTCTCCTCCAAGATTGTCTGAGACCAGCCACTGAGACAGTTGCTGAAACAATTGGTTTGCATAACCAAACAATTTCTGCAGAAACCCTCTGAGGGAAGCTCAACTGCATGCTCGTGTTCCTCATCGGGGTCTTGACCTGACTCCAGCTCGTCGCCGAAACAGACTTGAGTGGGCAAATGCTCACATTTGATTCTGGCACGTTGGAGAGGTGTTGTCTTCACGGATGAATCTTGGTTTGAATTGTTCAGGGCAGATTGCAGACAGCGTGTGTGGCGTCGTGTGGGTGAGCGCTTTGCTGATGTCAATGTTGTGCCCATGGTGGTGGGGTTATGGTATGGGCAGGCATCTGTTATGGTCGAAGAACACAAGTGCATTTTATTGATGGCATTGTGAATGCACAGAGATACTGTGATGAGATCCTGAGGCCAATTGTTGTGCCATACATCCATGAGCATCACCTTATGTTTCAGCAAGATAATGCATGGCCCCATGTTGCAAGGATCTGTACACAATTCTTGGAAGCGGAAAATGTCTCAGTTCTTGCATGGCCAACATACTCACCGAACATGTCACCCATTGAGCATGTTTGGGATGTGCTTGACCGGCTTATACGACAGTGTGCACCAGTTCCCGCTGATATCCAGCAACTTCACACAGCCCTTGAAGAGGAGTGGACCAACATTCCACAGGCCACAATTGACAATCTGATAAAGTCTATGCGAAGAAGATGTGTTGCACTGCATGAGGCAAATAGTGGTCACATCAGATACTGACTGGTTCTGAGTCCCCAGACCCCCAATAAAGCAAAATAATGCACATTTCAGAGTGGCCTTTTATTGTGGACAATCTAAAGCACACCTGTGCACTAATCATGATGTCAGATCAGTATCTTGATGTGGCACACCTGTGAGGTGGGATGGAGAAGTAGCAGAAGTGCTCACTATCACACATTCAGACAGATTTGTAAACAATGTTTGAGATAAAATGGTAGTATTGTGTATCTGGAATTCATTTTAGATATTTAAGTCCATCTCCTGGAAAATGGGAGCAAAAACAAAAAAGTTGTGTTTATACTGTGTGTTTGTTGAGCATTGGCCTTTGGGCCTGAAGGTTATGGGTTCGAGACTCCCACTGATGTCTGCTGTCGTTTTGTCCTTGGGCAAGACACTTAACCCCACTTTGCCTAAAGCCCCTGCTGAATAATCAAGGCTCCTGTGGACTCATCACCTGCAGGAGGATCAGTGAGGGGCTGGTGCTGTGTGTACTGGGTGCAGCTCTCACATGGCCCCCTCCTGATCCAAAAATGGATTAAGGGGAAGAAAATGAATGGATAAAATAAATAAATAATGGTAATAAAATAAATAACAGAAAAAATATGAAGAAAAAGTAAAAGAAGAGAATTTCCAGACAATTTAAAACCATATTGTACCTTTTCAAAGAGAACAGGGTCTGTCTTAAAATGAGCATATGAAATAAGATTAATAAGACAATAAGACAAATGGCAATTGACCAATCAGAGACCTGGCTTTACAGTGAGGCCTCATTCAGATGCACACTGCACAGAGTTCCCCTCACAGCTGTCAGATGTCAGACTTGGTGACTGGACCTCGTTTAGCGTTGGACATGAGAGCGTTTGGACGGAGCAGGTTCACTGGGCTGTGGATCTCTGCATCCCTGCACACAGTCCATCCAGGCTGACGTTTCGCTGAGGCCACTGGAGACACAGGCAAGCACAGAGGAAGGGAGACAGAATAGGAAACATTAACTGATTAGGAGAGCAGATAGCCAATTAAAGACATATTCGCTGTAGATTGGTGAAGTTATTCAGTCTATAAAAAATACAACAGAAGAATGTTTGTTGTACTGGATCTATGTCCTGCTGTGGAAGCGGATCTCCTTTTTTACCACAGGTTCCTGGAGGGTC